AAAGTGTGAGGAATGACTGATTTTTTAATTTTCTATTATATAGTGGATCATGCAATTGGTCTGGTCCTATGATTTTTCCTTTTCTTCGATTTTCTAGCTAATGAATTTTATATTTTTATTTTTTTTGTGCGTGATAAATTCTTATTAAAAATTAAGATATTAAATACTAACTCTGTTGCTGAAAATTTTTTAGCATATAGTATTATAATAATTAATTATTTTATTTTAGAAGAATTTTAAAATTTAAAATCTAATTTACTCAAAATTTTATCAGTTCCTAATATAATTTTTTTTTTCAAATTTATCATTTTATTTTAGAAAAATTTACATACATACCACTTTATTTTATGCTATTTAATATCTAACACCTAAATAATATTATATGTCTACCACTTATATACAATTTTAATATCAAATATATCACTCATATAATTTATTTATATCATTTATATCATCCTATAAATTTTAATATTTTATTACATGTATTTAAATTTATTCTATAGATGATAAATATGTAATATTAAATTATTAATATTTTAAATGTTAAATGTGTAAATAACATGAGATGTGGTGTATACGTAAATCCTGGATCGCGGTGAAGCCGGTGGCTAATATGAGCTTGACCAGCCCATAAGACACAGATCGGTCCGTACGTCAAATGCGGTGCGCATCGGTAGAACATTCGAGAACCCTGTCGATGCGGTGCTCATCGGTAGAACATTCGAGAACGCTGTCGCCTAGAATCTAGAACCCTCTCCAAAACCACAAAAGCTGGACTTCTTCGTTTAGAAATCCGATCGCTCGCTCCTTCGCTCTTTCTGTTCTCTCTCTTTTCCTCTCCCATGGCAGACGAAGCGAAGGCTAAGGGAAACGCGGCCTTCTCCGCCGGCCGTTTCGAAGAAGCAATTCGCTATTTCTCAGAAGCGATAGATCTTGCTCCTACCAACCATGTGCTCTATTCCAACCGCTCTGCTGCCTATGCCTCTCTCCACCGCTACGCCGAGGCTCTCGCCGACGGCCGTAAGACAGTTGAGATCAAGCCCGATTGGTCGAAAGGGTACAGTCGCCTTGGTGCCGCTCATCTTGGGCTTGGAAATCATGAAGAAGCAATTGCCGCTTACCAGAAGGGCCTCGATCTTGATCCCAACAACGAGGCGCTCAAGTCGGGGATCGCGGACGCTAGGGCGGCAGCCAACCGGTCTCGGAAACCTTCAGCAGCCTCTCCATTCGCGAATATATTTCAGGGCCCCGAGGTTTGGGCTAAGCTGACGGCTGATCCATCTACAAGAGCGTATCTCCAGCAGCCAGATTTCGTTAAGATGCTCCAGGAAGTTCAGAAGAACCCTAATAACCTCAATCTGTATCTTCAGGATCAGAGGATGATGCAAGTGCTTGGAGTTTTGCTTAATGTAAAGATGCGGGATTCTACGCGGGATGAGATGGAAAGTGACTTTCCTGAGCCTGAGAAGAAAAGGCCGCAGGCTGAGACAACAAATAAGGCGCCACACAAAACTGAACCAGAACCGGAGCCGGAACCTATGGAATTCACGGATGAAGTGAAAGAAGCTAAGCAAAGAAAGGCAGAAGCTCAAAAGGAGAAGGAAAAGGGAAATACGGCCTACAAAAAGAAGGATTTTGAGGAGGCGATCAATCATTATACGAAAGCAATTGAGCTGGATGATGAGGACATCTCTTTTCTCACTAATAGGGCTGCTGTTTATTTGGAGATGGGGAAGGTATTATAACTCTAATTTTTCTAAACTTTTTAGCAAATTGTAGTTTCCTAATATAAACTTGAAGAACAAATGACTTCTTTTTTCTGTTGTTTATGTTTCTGCATTAAAATATGCTAAAATGCTTCTGTTAATGAATAACATATTGAATTTGATTGTACTTGTTCTGGTTGCAAGATCCTATCACTGTTCAATAGTAATGCCAATGTATTCATTCAGTTTTTAATGCACGCCTATTGATTTAATTAAGCTCTTCCTGCATATCTCTTCACCGTACTAGCTAACCTAACAAATGCTCTTTTTTTAAGTACATGTTTCAATCCATTTCTAAGTGAAAATAGTGATTTGTGCAACACGTTAGAGAGCATTTGACTCTAATGCTGAACATTCCTCCCTATGTAACTTAAGACACTGATTGTTCAGCTGTCCGCACAAATATATTTTCTCACACATTTGATCAAAACAAATGCTAGTATTACATCTATTAGTCAAGCACTAACCATAGTTGAATCATTTGATTTGGAAAAGAGTCATTTTGTTGATTCGATCTCCAATTGTCAACGATTAGCTGTTATCTTTGACAATCACGCCAAAAATATTCTAGGGTAGTCTCCTCCGAAGTTTAAGCAGCCATCTTGATTAATAAAAGGGCTTAACTGACCTTGTGGAGTATTTGGTTGTGTTTGAAGATATTATGATGCTATGCACTGCATTTGATATAGAAAAATGCGTGTTGTTTTAGACAACGCTCAAATATTTTGTTTGGAGGTCGTTCTCCATACTTCCTCAATAAATATATTTATCCTTTTGAGGAACTAAGAAGACAATTCATTGTGTAGTTTTCATGCTCTTAAAGGATGTTGAAAATCTATTACACTGCTTTGTAACTAGTAAAAACAAATGAGTGAATATATGAGAAGGTTCGCTTGGGCGACTCTTAAGGTCTTTGATGTTGATCTTTTCTTGGTGAAGGCAACACAAGTACTTGGGCTAAAGAATTGTCTGATGGGATGCCACTAAGATATGTGGTAAACTTCGCTTTTGGTCAATAATTATTTCCTATTTAGGTTATGATGATGATCTTCCTTCCTATCAAAATGCACATCTTTTGGTTCCATGATAAAAGTGTCAATCAACCAGTGCTTATTCTATAGAATTCTAATTTTCATATGTAATTCAAGAAATGTTTTGTTCTTTCATGTGAGTGGGAAGGTGGGCTTGGGTGTTATATATTTAAGAGCTATCTTTGGTTGAGCTCTCTAGTAAGAGGGATGCCCCACAAGGAATCATAGCCCTTGAAGCGACTTGAGGGAAATAGAAGTCATATAATAAGATAAACAAATCAACTTTATGGTCTCACTTGCTCTCTCAACCTACAACATTATAATTTGATGACCTTTGTTGAATTATTTTTGAGTAGTTGTCTCGATTGAACATTTGAAAGTGATGTTCCCTATTCCAAATAGCAAATTTTGGATGAGATTTTCCATCATGTAAGTGTTCACAACATTGTTTGAGGAAGAGTATCTTTTATTTTGACTATTAGAGATGACGGGCAATCATGAATTAAATTGATTCAATATGTCATTGAAGTTCTTATCTTAGAAGGGGACATTTGGATTAACTTTTTGAATATGCTTATTGTGTTTAGGTAAATTTCAAAGCAAGACTCATTGACTTATACTTAAGTGTGATGTTTATACATGGCAACCATTCGATATGCTTGGTGTTAAATTATCAACTGCATCACCTTCATATTTTTCTAGAAAGCATGGTGACCAAGCAAAATAAAATGGGACTTCACATTAGAAATATAATAGGAGATTAATGAAGAAGTTTACATGCTCATAGATTTAGGATTTATAATTTAGTTGAGATGTCCAATATCAATATTTGATATCCAATGCGGTGATGGTATAAAAGGAAAATAACAAGTGCTAGATGTGTTGATTTGGAGCGAGTTAATGATGTATGCTTGAAAGACTCATACCTTTACTCATTCACCCCTAATTGATTCTGCAATGTCATATACAATGCTCAATTGCTTCAACCCCTTCTCTGGTTTTTAATTAATGAAGGGAGATTTTGCTATAAAGAGATATTGTTGAATTGAGGAATGTTGGAACAACTTGTTAGAGGTTGATAGATAATGCCTATTGAGCATCAAAAGGGGGAAATATGGAGATCTATGCTGATGATGTCCTCATTAAGAGCAAAGGGATTATAATTCATCTTGTTGATTTTATTGATATGTTTACAAAGTTAAGGACATTTAGCATTCAACTAAATCCAACAAATTTTGTGTTGAATGCTTGGTGAGGAGTGTTTCATGGATATGTTGTATTTTTTGAAGAAATTAAAGTCAATTTTGATAAAGCTTGGGTGGTTTTGGAGTTAGAATTCTCCTCGTGTGATCAAGGAAGTTGGAAAGTTGCCTGAAAATTTTCTTGTATAGAGTTGATTTGTCCTTTGATCAGGAGAATAAATTAGTGCCACATTGTTGGGAATAGTATCAAGGAAAAAGTTGTTAATGACATTATTTACAAGGGAAAAATGACATACGAAGAGCAAGGAGGCCGTGATTGTTGAATTATATATTCATGATGGTGACAAGAAAACCATTGTGGGTGTGGAAGAGGTTGGTCATGGAAAGGATTGAGAGGATAACTTGTATCGTGTAGGATGCTGGTAATACGCTACTCAAATATGAAAAGATTTCTCTGATGTAATTTTGTTTTTCTTTGACACCACTTTTTCTACTAAATTATTGAACTAGTAATCCAAATGAATAATACAAATGAAAAGAAACTTTGTTTGTAAAGTCAATGCGACAAGAAAAGCAAAATCTAAATGAAGCCCAAGAAAGTTTCAACTTGTTGATTTGGAGGTTAAAAAGGTTGAATCAACTAGTTGTGCTAGAAGTGAGAAATTTGATTATGTTTGGGAATGTCTATATATAATTAAATATGTTAGAACTTGGAACAAACAGGTTGCATTTGAAAACAAAGGGATTGAGCTTTATTGAACATGGAATTCAAATGACCTTCAAATATTCTATGTTTAAAATTTGAGTTCTAATGTTGTTTGGATTCTATGTGAGGATTCCATTAAAACTAGAAATATGTTATTTCTTGCTCCTATATGTTATTAGATTTCCTCTAAAAAATGTATAGCATCTAATTATAGATCTTTTATCAATTAATGATCATGTATAGTTTACATTAGTATACCCTTTAATTTATAAAGCATTTAGTTTTTATAGAGAATTCTTTTACCAAAGAATATAATGATTCTATAAGTAGCTTGAATGTGATATTTTTTGGTTTATGCATGAATTGATTGATGAGAGTCACTACAAATATGATGTCTGTAAGGGTGTGAGATAGTTCAGTTATTTTTTCATCTAATATTTAATATTGTCAAATGTTTGCTTCTTTTTATTCTCTATTTACTTTATGAGATTTCCTCCCAAAATGGACAAACATAGTCATTGATCTTCTATCAACAGGTGATTTTATATAATTTTCATTAGTATACCTTTTAATTTGTAAAGTATGTAGTTTTTATAGGGAATTTCTTTATCAGGATTTATTTAGAGTATCTGAAAATTTTATAAGCATTTTGGAAATGAGATTTTATGAGTTTGTACATAAATTGATTGATGAGATACATTATAAATTTGATGTCCATACTGGTGTGAGATAGATTTTTTTTTTCAATTAATCTTTGATATTATTTTATATCTAATTTTTTTTTCTTAGTTTGCATCCAATTTTCGATGTGATTTTGTTATGATTTCATAAGGTTTATAAGCTGCTATATTTGTTTCATCAATGACTTTTTTTTTTGTTAAAAGAGGAATTTTCTTTGTTTTGATTGAGCAATTTCTAATTTTAGGAAGTATTTGAGTTTTTTCAACTCTTTGATCTCAAATTTTCTTTATTATCATCACTTGTGATAATTATATGTTAAAAATATATGATTAGAATTGATATATAAAAAATTCATTTGTATTTTATAATTGCATTATATCATTTTAGACTTTCTTTAGTTTTATATTTTATATTAAAAATTCATTTGTATTCTATCATTTTCTTTCTTTTTAGCAATTCAATGATCCCCCACAACCCCACATAGGTGTTTTCTTAAGATCATTTATCTCTTCTATCATGGCATATTTTTAATTGTTATTTTTAAAGTGCTTAAATAGAGTTTATGATATTCTAATGATATCTAGAGCTAATATTTGTAAGAAGATTTTATGGGTATTATAAATTTTTCGAAAAGATGTATATTGGGAGATGAATATAGAGGAGAATGTGTGTTGATTGGTTGATCATTGTTACTTAATATTTATTTTGAGACTTGAGCTTGCTGGAAAAATTTTACTTGGGCCTATTCCTTGTATAGATTTTAAGGGGTACAATGGTTTGATTTATTGGAGCATGTGTTGCAAGAATGTCAACAAAAAAGATAAAAGTTTCTTTAAGTTTATCTTTCAATTTAAAGTTCTCTTGAAGATTAGTTTGATTGAAAAAATTTTATTTCTCATAACATGTGATATCTTGTGAAGGAATGTTTTGGTAGTAGGATGATAACATTTAAATTTTTTCAAGTGGCAGAATAACCAATAAATGCACATTTTAGAGCTCTTGGGTCAAGTTTTTCTCTGTGTTATTTGTGAATGTGGATATAGAGAATGCACACAAAGATTTTTGGAGGAATTTTTTTAGAAGTTATTTGTGAAATAATTCAGTTAGGTAATTTTTAGTACTTTTGAAGCCAATCACTATTGAGGGTATTTTATCTTTTAATTGTGTAACATTTTGGACTTTCTCCTTAGTATTTTTTTTGGCATATGATTTTAGAAGAGAAGAGTTCTCATAACTTTTAAAAGTTGGTATTTTTTTTCTTTTTGATATTTTATTTTGTTGGGAAGTGTTTGGACAAAAAAGATTGATTAATGATTCATTCTTTCTAGGAAAAAGATAATGTGTGTTTAAAGTAATCATGATCATTATCAGTCTGAAATATTTCTATATTAACAACAACAACAAAAACATCAAGCCTTTATCCCACTTTGGGGTCAGCTACATGAATCCTTTTTCTCCGTTGTGACTTGTTAAAAGTTAAATTCTCATTTAAATCTAATAAAGAAAAGTTATTTCTAATATTTTCTAACCAAGTCATTTTAGGTCTACCTTTGCCCTTCTTAATATAAGTCAAATCTAATACATCTACTTTCCTAGCCGGGTCATTGAAAGACCGCCGTTTTATGTGACCAAACTATCTAAGGCTGCTCTCTCTAATCTTATCTTACACTGAAATTTTTCTATATTAACTTGAAATTATTTTGGTATCATGATAATAAAAATGGTGAGAATAGTGGTGATATAATATTTTTATTTGTTAAAATGTGTTTATGTCATTGGAGTGTATCATTAATGAAGGTGACAATATTGCGGCTCCAAAAATATTAAAGATTTGGAAGATCCCTAGAATCTCCATATCTATCTCTGATTAATTAGAATTAGTAGAGGATTTATAATTACTTTCAAGAAAACAATAAGATGATATTTGGCAATTTTACAAATCTCAATAAAAAATTTTTATATTTAAATTAAAAAAAAAAGAGAAAAACAACATGCATTATTAAATTTTTAAAAATGGATGCCCTAGCTTATAACGATGCTCCGAAATAATTTTTGTATTGAGTGTGGAAATAAAACAAATGTGACAAGTGATTCTTGTCTTTAAGAAGATATATGCCTTTCTTTCCTCTAGCTTGCGTAATTGCCTTCCTTGCAGTGGTTTTTCAAAATACTCTCTGGATTAGCAAAAAATGTTGCTTTAAAGTTGTGGACTTTAGTTATTTTATATATTGATAAAAGATATATTGCAAAACGTAAAAATTATAGTTTATTACCAAGAGTAAATATGGAGAAAATTAAAATGTTCTTGCTATGCAACAATTGTTAGAGAAAAAATTGACTGCTTTTATTTTTATATTATTAGGTAGGGTTTGTAGTTTTGAAAAAGGTTGGTTAGTCATGTGGTCAATAGCTTCTAAATCTAGGATCCAAGCTTGAAAGAAATCACTCAAGGCATTGAAAACACAAGAATTATAAGGCATATTATTTTGAATTAGAAAGCATGTTTTGGATATTTTTTTCCAGATAGTTGAGAAAGTTTATAAATTTGTCATTTTTTTAGACTGAGCTCTTTTGATTTCACAATGTAGGCAGAAGCTTTTTGTGATCTTTATTTTCACCATAGCCTAGGAGCTTTTTGTGGAGTTTTTTCAACATTTTCTTTTGATGTGTCATTTATTCTTGTAGTAGTTGCACCATAGATGACCTTTAGAAAAAAAGCTTTAGCTCTTATCTAAGGAAAATGTATGTAGCAATAAGTCTCTTATCTTGGGATTCGTTTGATGTCATGGTAGTTAGTTTGAAGATCAAAGTGTTGAGCTTTACAACTTTCCCTTTTTAACTCATATGAAAGGAAACAAATCTCATTTGATGATGGTATGTTTTCCAGTTTAAGATTTGGATATAAATTTATTCAAAGTCGTTAGCAAGTCCTACAAAGAACTCAAATACTCATTCTCTTTTCACGAATTGTTTGAGAAGTATTGCATCAATGTAGCTTCTCATCTTACGATCTTAGTAATAATCTTGTTAAAGCTGATAAGCAATGTTTAAAATTGCGTATTCGGGTATTGAGGCTTTTTTCATTCGTGAGGCGATGCGTAAGCCTCAAGGCGTTTTGAGGCGTAAGCCTCAAAATCAAAAGATTGCGTAAACATAAAATGATAAATTTTTTATATACTAATGAGTGAATAATATAAAACATGAAAAAGCATAAGATATGAAGTGAAATCAAAATATCTCAATAATAAGACAACATGAAATATAGTTCAACTCAAAATTCTATCTTTCCCAAATCCCATTATTCTTTTCATTAACATATAATTCCAATTTTAAAAAATAAATAGCAATGACATATCACATAAAAACTCATAAGTGATCAGCATTGTCATCACTAAGGGGTTCTTCATTTGAATCATCATTATGGTGAACTGCTCTCTCCTCTTCCTCCTCTCCTATAGAGTCCAATGTCGGGCATTTACTTCAAGATTTATGTAAGTTTTAATATATATAGCGTGAGGCGTAAGCCTCGTGCCAGTGAGGCGAGGCGGGCCTCAACCAAGTTGAGGCGCAAGCCTCATAAAAAAAATTTGAGGCGTAAGCATTGAGGCGTTTTTTATTGGAATTGCACAAAGGCGGGCCTCAAGGCGAGCCTCATATTGTGCAATTTTAAACCATGCTGATAAGTCTTCATTACATTAAACTATTTAATAATATGAAGGTTATTTTATTTATTTTAAGTCTTTGTTTTGATCTTGTAGATTTAGTTTTGAGTATGTTTGTTTGACGGCGTCCCAAACTTTTTTTATGATAGAGGAACGTATGTTCCCCATTAATTTCAGGTATTATGATATTCTAAAATTATGTCATGATCATGGGATCTTCTTCATCCCAAAGTATGCATTTTGAATCTTTCGGCTTTGAAGGAGAATTCACAAGATAGATTATTTCCATTCCTTTTTGAAGTGTCTTTACAATTTGGAGTTATTTCAAATAATTTCTCTAATTCAGGTGATGTAAGCTCTGAATTTCTCATATAGTTTAATTTTCATTATTTAGGATGGATCACTCCTTGGAAGGGAAGTTAAAAAAATTAGCCACGATGAAGAACAAAAAGGGATGGGAAAAAAAATCAGAAGTTGGTGGATGAAAACCTAACCTCACTATGATGACATGTAGACAAGTTGAAAAGCAGGAAAAAAAAATATTTTGAATTTTATTACTTGCATTTTTATAAAATGTGGAGGTATTTATAGACTTTTCAAATGGCTTACAATGAAAATAAATCAAAACTATTTATAAAATGAAACATAAGTCTTTATGAGGGTTCGACGGCTAGAAGAGAAAGTTGAGACACATAGAATGTAATCTAAGTGCTTTAAGAGGATTGATCTAATGGTTAAAATCCTTAATCTATGTGCCCAAAGATTCCTACTAAAATTTGTTGACTTGTGGATTCCATGATCTGTCAACACTTCTCCGTCCAATTACTTACTAAGAACTGTTCACATGTTCAATGAAAGTTCATGAAAAAATTTGTCTCTGTAAGCTGTATTTGGATTGTACTATTAAATTGAAATATATAGCAGGCATACCTTGTGTTATTCTGAAAGTATGAAAGCATACACCTGCAGATTATTTGTCAATATATCTTCTTAAAATTGGAGTTGTTCATTTTGTCTTCTTGCCTTCGTCAGTTCTCTTAGTGATTTAAGCACTAGTTTCGTCTTTGTGACGTTGATGTTTATATTTTTCATGTGAATGTGGTATAGTAAGCATTAGCTTATAGGCTTCTTTGAAGGAAGCTTTAAGTTTGTTACATGATGTTTTTTTTAGTCCTCACCCTTCTTGTTTATACCCACAATGTAAATCTGCACTTTCAGTATGAAGACTGTATAGCTGACTGTGACAAAGCTGTTGAGAGGGGCCGTGAACTTCACTCTGACTTTAAGATGATTGCAAGGGCATTGACGAGGAAGGGATCTGCACTTGTTAAAGTGGCAAAGTGTTCCAAGGATTATGAACCTGCTATTGAGACCTTCCAGAAAGCCTTGACTGAGCATCGTAACCCAGATACATTGAAAAAATTGAATGATGCAGAGAGGGCTAAGAAAGAAGCTGAACAACAAGAATATTATGACCCAAAAATAGCTGATGAGGAGAGAGAAAAAGGTATGTTCTGTTACACATTTTTGTATCATTGTCATTGTATTTTTTTTCTTAGTTGATAATTAGGATTTATTTTTCTTTATATTTGATCAACATAGGCAATTTGGTCATGTGTTAGTGATTGTTTATTCACTCTTATTTTATAGGATTCTCTATTGTTAAAAGTGACCGAAGGATCTTGTAATAATTAATTATGATCTGAAATAAATTAGGTGTATCATTGATCCACTTTATTAGATTTTTTATATGTTTCTATTTCTTCACTTCTTTCCTCTTCCTCTTCCTAAAAAATTTCAAGGCTTCTGCATTTTTTTTTTGCCACAACTCACATCAATTGGTATCAGAGTTAAAAATCTTGCAAATATTGACCCAAAGCCCAGGCCATTTCTTTTATAATTCTTACCTGACATTCCAAGACTAATTCTATATGTAAAACCCCTCCCACTAAAGTTCTTATATCCAACATCTTATTTCATAATACCCCTCATTCAATCAGGCTTCCTTTTTTTTTTCCTCTCATCAAAATTAGATATCCTCCACGTCCATATGGCTTCCTCATCAAGATTCGACTCCTTGATATCTCAAAAACTAAAAAACTGAGAAATACCTCTCCAACACTCAGCCACAAAAATTCGGTCAGCTCTTTTCTTGCTTGGACTTGAGAGCATATGATCCATATGAGCTCTTAGAGAACAATTAGCTAAGATCTCACCTCACATGTATAATATGCTCTTAAGTTCATGAAACTAAAACTTCCATTAAAACCCCTTCAACATACATTGGTTCCTTGGCTCATAGGACTGCAATTTATACGGATCTTCTAATTTTTACTCATGTTTATGGAGGATCCTTGCAAAAAATGAGAATTTATCAATAGCATCTTTTTTTTTTCAATCATGAAAATCCTTAGAAAAATAACCCAAAAAAAACTAGTTAGAGGTATACCTATACTATAATTCTCTAAGGACCACCTTTGTGATGCCTATCAAATAGGAAGGCAAATAAAAAATTCCTTTCACTCCATTAAAGACATCACCAACTATAGAGCTTTAGAAATCCTTCACATGGATTTATTTGGACTGGTTGGCACTACCAGCTTAAGCGGGAAAACATATGAATATGTGATTACTGATAATTATTCGAGATTTACATGGATTAGATTTTTATCACATAAAACTGAATCATTTGAGAAATTTAGAAAATTCTCTAAATTGATTCAGAAAAAAAATATGTTGTGAGATCCTAACTATCTATAGTGATCATTGTGCAAGCTTGTGTATTGTGAAATGAATTGGTTGAGTGGCAAAGCTATGCATTTCGATGGTTTAATAGCTCAGAAGTGGGATAAGGGATCTAAGGTTTTCGATAGTGTTAGATGGAATTTGTGTGGTGAAAAAAAGACCATAGTTCAAGATAAAGACGCTGAAGAAATATGAGAATTTTATATTGGAAAAATTTTAAATGAAAGTTGTCAGGAATATATGGTTTTTCAAATAATCAACATAGATAATAAAATACATTTTAAGTTGATCCAAAACAAGCAAAGTGGATTTAACTTTGATGAAGATGCATGGAGTGAAGCAATAGGTGTAGATAAAATACCAGGTGAGGTTTAGGAATTTACGAGTGGTATTGGGGTAGTTTGCAAGTATATTTGTTTTATGGGGTTTTGAAGGCTAAGAAGATGTTAAATTATTGGAAAATCATTTTGGAGTTAGTATTCAAGAACAAAAGAGATTAAAAAATATTAAAATTATAGGAGAATTTCTCTTACGTGTTATAAAATACCAAAAGATTTAATATGGATTTCATAATAAGACAATTAATGGAAAGCTGTAGGGAGCAAAAAATGTTCATTTAAGTTCTTATGAGCTTGAGAATGCATGTATCGAAATATCATGATTATTGATTTGATGTACATTATTTAACCAAAAAAAAGTGTCAAAGATATGTTATAATTCATAAAGGTATCTTAAACTTCTACATTTTCTGTGATATTTGTATAAGCGTGTACTAAGGGATTCAAAGTGAGGTGTTTTAGCATATATTTTTTGAAGATGGCATAACTTTAATTAGTGAGACCTTCATTGATATAAATGAGAAGTTAAAATAATGAAGAAAATTTGAAGGTTAAAGTTTAATAGAGCAAAAATTACATTTATGATATTTGCAACAAATTTATTGGGTTTAATATTTTACCAGCATTTTTAGAATATGAAGTTATATTTAAATGTGATTTGCTCAACCTTCTTGTATCATTATATAGAATCATGAGTTTATTGATAATGATACAACTTTTAAAGTTAGGGATGTTGTAAGAATAACAAGGAGAAATACCACGACTATTTGAGATAAGAGAATTTCATGAAGATTAAATGTTAATTATATAAAAATGCAATTAGGCTTGCTATGCAAAATTAGGTAAGTTGAAACCAATGCCAAGTATTTAATGTTCGTGTAATGATGATGATAATGAAAGTACACTCTTAACTCTTTGAAAATCTTGTTTGTTGATGTAGTTTCAGCTGTTACATCTGTTCAATAGTGTATTGAACTTAAATTGATAGAATCGGGAATACTTTTTTTTCTTTTTAATGAGTTATGATCATTTTGTTGATTTTGTGAGCCATATTTTGTCGGTTGCAATGTCTAAAGTTGATTGTTTGATATGCTCTTTTCTGATTGCGTGGTGTTTCATATTTAGATTGATTTGAGTAAGAGTTTCTTTCTAGTTATGTAACCATATATGGAGCAAGAGAGGCTGTATAGTCATAAAGTTACATATTTTTTTCTCTTTTTAAAATAAGTTTTTTTTTGCTATTGAAAGCCGGTGCTAATTGTGGGTGAAGATTGAGAGTCGTCGTAGATCTAATTGTGTTCTATGTACTTTTAAACAAGGTTTAAAATTGCGTAACTGCGCCTCGAGGCGGTTTTCGTCCGTGAGGCGAGGCGTAAGCCTCGAGGCGGTCTGAGGCGTAAGCCTCACGAACACAGAATTGCGTAAATGAAAAATTAAGGGTTTAAGCAGGAAAATAATAGCAATAGTGGAAAATAAGAATGTAGATGCAATAAAATCATGTCCCAAAGTACAAAATCACAAAATATTAGTTTAACAAAACTCCCAAAATACAAAAAACATATAAAATGAAATCATATCCCATCACAAAATATCAGTCTTCAAGTGAATCTTCTTCTCCAATTGTATCTATGAATGCCATGTCATCTTCATCTTCAACATGACTCACTTTTCTCTTCCCTGTTCATTAAAAGAAAAGATTATTAGCATATTAATTGGATGAACCACTCATTATCAAGCAGACTGGCAGAGAACATATACCTTTACTTGCAGAGCTAGTACATGTGTGTGGTGTGGTACTAGTGGATGTACCCGTTTGATCTGCTTCGCCCCTCAATACATCCACATTTAGATCTTCTACCTATAAGTCTGATAATGACAAATCTGCCTCATCATCTATGAACCACTCATTATCAGACGACAGATCATCACACACCAACGGGTCCTCATCATCTTTCAACCCCTTATTCCTCAACCTCCTATCTCTTAACCTTAAAATTTCTTTCACTTCAAAAATCTAACCAAAAAGTAAAAAAAAATACCTAAAAACCTTTTTGGACTTCTCCTACAATGCGGCCGGACACTTCAACTTCGCCGGCCGGCGGGAGAGGCGGCGGGAAGGTTGGCCGACCGGACGGGAGCCTCAGGTTTTCGCGATCTGGAGCTTACGGGCGGAAAGAATCGGGAAGCAGGTGAGCCGATCGGGTGTGGGGGAAAGGGAGGAGTCATTTTAAGTAGGTGGGCCCTTTTGGCTGAGGCGTACGCCTCTCTCAAAATTGCGCAATTGCGCAACAGAGGCGCGCCTCAGCCAATGTGAGGCGTACGCCTCACCATTGCCAGCAATTGCGCACGCCTCGAGGCATTTTTTGCAAGAATTGCGCAAAGAGGCGCGCCTTTTATTGCGCAATTTTAAACAGAGCTTTTAAATTGAATGTTGGTTGTTACCTGTCCATAGCCCTTTTGAAAGGAACATTTTTTATGTTTACGAGCTGGATTGCCGTTGATGGATTAATCCAGAAATTGTGTTTTTTAATTGTTACTTGCTTGTATGGTTTTAATTCTACAAGACTTATTTTTAATTTTAGCACTTTCGTTTGTTTTCATTTTTAGCATGTTTTAGATATCTTGAGTCTATTATTTAGAGTGATGGTGAAATAGATGGGGATATTATTAGTAGAATTCAAGTTGGATGGTTGAAGTGGAGGAATTCATTAGGCTTGTTATATGATAGAAAAGTCCCTCTCAAACTTAAGGGAAAATTCTATAAGATGGTAGTGAGATCTGTAATGCTTTATGGTGCAGAATGTTGGCCATTAAAAGAGAAGCATAATATTAAGTATTGCAAAGATGAGGATGCTCAGGTGGATGAGTGGTTTTACTCTTAAAGACGTGATACAAAATGAGTATGTACGTGAAAAGGGTGGAGTAGCTCCAGTGGAAGATAAGATTAGAGAGAGTCGTCTTAGATGGTTTGGTCACGTAAAACGGCGGCCTTCCAATGACCCGGTTAAGAAAGTAGATGTATTAGATTTGACTTATGTTAAGAAATGTAGAGGTAGACCTAAAAAACTTGGTTAGAAAATATTAGAAATGATCTTTCCTTATTAGATTTTGATGAGAATTTGACCCTTCAAATGACACAATGAAGAAAAGGAATTTTTGTAGCCGACCTCACATAGTCGGATAAAAGCTTGTTGTTGTTTTTGTGACATTTGAGAGCGTAGGGACTGCTCTAAAATTGCTTTACCGCTAACGTTGTTGCCTTACTCATGAGTAATTCTATTTTCTCTGAGTTGAATATTCAGTGAGTTCAAAATCCATTGTGTTGACGCTATCAGTTAATTAACTTATTTCTTAAAATTTTCTTTCTAGGCATACTTCTTGATTTGGATATTATACTGTTCCATACTTTGTAGTTCTATTTCATTGTCACCACTTGTTTTACGTTTGTGATATAACTTTCCAGTGGTCCAAGATATATCTTTCTTTTTGGTTTGCCTGTGATTTTTGTTGGGTTGTGTGGTAGATGCATTTTCCTCAATAAAAGATTGTGAGTTCTGGGTATCATATTGTTATTCGCACCTTCTTTTCTAGTTTTGAATACTCACTACTCACGTTTTTTAAGTAACTGCTTATTGCAGGTAATGAGTTTTTCAAAGAGCAGAAGTATCCAGAAGCAGTGAAACATTATACAGAGGCAATCAAAAGAAATCCACTTGACCCTAAAGTAAGCATTTACTTGTTTATGCTATTCTTATTGTCTTGAAACAAGTTGAAAGAATGCATGGAAATACACAAAATTATTATTTTATGATATCCATTCTTAGAGGCTTAATGGCTTGGCTGGTTGCTTTTAAGAAAAAGCGTGAAGTGAGGAGTGAGTGAAATGTACTACTCTTGTTTGTTAGGTTGGTGGTGGAATTTTGATGACTACTTATCCAGGAAGTGACAATTAGTGGTGAATTCTTACTAACCGCAGTTTTGAATGAACTCAACATTATATGAACATAACTAAACGGATGGAAAATGAAGCCAAATTGAGAAACTAGAAAATTGGTTCAATTTAGGTTAAATTGGTTTATTGGTCCAGCTTGATTTAGTTTTACATGTATTAATTGTAAACAATTGATTTATAAGCTATAAATTTAGGATTACTCATTTGTCTTTGATTAGATGATTCAAGATGCATCATCTATTTTTTATTTAATTTGAATTTTTTTTTCGGTTTACCAAAATTTCAATCCAAAACTAAATTAAGCCAATTGGCTTATGAATTGCAAGTTAAAATTGTCCCAAACTCAAGCCACAAGCCAAATCATTCAATTGTTTCACTTGGTTTGGTTTTTTGGGGTTAAACAATCTTGTTGGTCAACTCTCATGACAAATATTTTTCTTAATCATTTAACTACCCTTTCAAAGCACTGTTTCACACTATGCACGTAAGGGCGAAGCAGTAACGAAGAAATGGCGATGAGACAAAGTAACAAAGCTAACAATAAAGAAGAAATGGAGATTAAAAGCAAAACCTGAAGGGCCTCCATCTAATTGGTATAATTTAGCATAATTAGTATAATTTAAAATATTAATAATTAATTAAATTAATTAAATAATATACTTAAGATATCATTTATGTAAAGATGGGTTCAAAAGCCCCTTCGTTCTTGAGCTATCATTTATGTAGAACATGCTTATTGATTAGAATGTCTTTTTTTTTTTCTTAGGACAAACTTACATTTTGTTTGGTTGTGTAGGAAATGAATAATCATAGTGAATGGCAGACCCTAAAAGACTATAGATTTTCAGTTGTTATGGGAACACAACAATTTGGATAAACAACAAACTGCGCATTATACATGAATACATTGCTTAATACATTATGTTCTGACGATATATTGGCTATATAAGAAGAAGAGCATGCAGTTGGCCTAATCTACTCAAACCAAACTTGGTAAACTAGACCGAATATTACAACTTCCATTGTAGTTGTGGATATGCTAGTGAGGTCTATCATCCACTTTGAGAGATTGAGAGGGTTTTTTGCCAAGGCTAATCTAGAGCGATTACTCCAAGATTAAAATGCTTTTGCAAAGCTAATTCTCCATGAGGCAACACCCATCACAACCACCATAAGGAGAAAATGAATTGGCAGGCAGAAATAAAACCATCGTAGGAGGTTCCTTCCTACACCAAAAAGGTCTCACATTGTTAATACAATGAACTTTAATGGCTTTGACCTTGAAAGGGTATAAACTTTTGTTAGGATCTATCCATCAACTTGAAGCACAACCGCTTCAAAAAGCTTTGTGTCAATGTCGAATGAGGACATGCCATTGCCACATTGAAAATTGTGTCTAATGATTTTTTTTTTTTCAAAACTTAATAGTCATACACAATCAAGGCTCATTGAAATGCCCCAACATAGTTAGGAGGCACAATGATGATTACGAGTTTTTTTTTTTAGATGTTGGTGAGGCAACACTACAAATTATGTTTTATTATCAATGTGTTAGATTCTATTGGTAGGGTGCATTGTGTTATTAGTGTTGATCATGGTGCTGAGAGTGCTAGGCTAATTAATAAAACATCAATGAGTTTTTTTTTTTTTTTACATTTTTAAGATGACATACTCTCTTTTATACTATGGCATTTTTTGTGTGCAATATAATTTTGATATTGATTAATGCTCATGTCGTGTGTTGTTGACAATTACGTATACTTGATAAAATTTTATAATATAATTGTGATTAAACAAATATTATTTTGTATTTGTATTTATGTTTTTTTATGAGATTTATGAGATACTTATATGCATTTGATGGAAGATATTGATATTAGATTTTTAAGTTATACATTTTGTATTAAGAATTTATAAAATAATACTTGTCCATTTTGGGTCATCTCGTGTTACAGCTATTTTTTGTCTGCATGCCTGTCTCGTATCCATGTTTGTGCTTCATAGTTTGGTCATCAATGTCAGGATTAGGGAATCAGGCTTTAATGTCAAGAGGATTCTTGGAGATAGTGAGAGCTTTGTTGACTGATTTTCTACTTTACTTTTCTGGCAAGCCATGCACATGTGAAACCTAATGATTAATATCACAAATAAAGTCTAGGCTTCAAAATGGAGAAGGAAGAAGAAAGGAGGGCACCACCCCCTAAACCTCTCTTGGGGGTTATGATTGGTGCTTGTTAGTGTACCACACTACCACCAAATGTCATGTCCACTAACGCATGAGTGACACAATTGGGAGATACAACTAACACGCTCATCGCCTTAACACTGCCCTAATGAGTTGGCAGATTGTGTTTTCTCATTTACTTAATATGTTGTCTCCTTCGTGAAGTGACATAGTATCACGCAGATGGTTTTCACAAAAGCCTCCCATGCTGGATTCTCCCCATTAAGGAACCAACTGTGTTGGCTAGTGTGGTGAAACATCACACAAGCACAAGGATCACCTGCATGAGCTTGCACAAGCTACAAGCCCACATAATAAGCCTAATTATATATACACATGTAAGTCCCAAACAAAGACTCGAACCATGAGACTTGGGCCATCATGACTCAATCTAAGCTACCTTTATGTTATGCCTAATATTATATCCAGCTTCCGTCAGGACAAATCATATCAAAACAAGCACTTCAAATACATTAGAGTGTTATTCTAATATTATGCAAATGCTTCAAAGAATAAGCTCCAACTCATTGCTAAAGCATAGGTCAACGCATGATATCTCAATTTGTCACACTAAGAGGATGTCCATGTTGATCTTCTAGGTGTGGTTGAGGTTAGTACACCATCTCAGAATTCTTACTTGCATGCTCTTTTTTTTTTTTTTTTTAAGAAATTTTTTGAATTATTTTAGAAGAAACTCAAAAATAGGGTTGATATGTCCCTAAAAAAACATTGATTTGGGATCAATTCCAACCATTTGATCAAGAACACTTAAGATTCATGCTATGTCCTTTGAATCTACACCATCAGATCACCTCAAGATCCATGGTGACCCTTCAATCAAGTAGAAGGGGAATTAATGCTAGTCTAAAATCTGTAATAGGAATTTCTGTCCAAACTATATATCCAACATCAATCTCAAAGATATTTAATGACCCAATTCAAATTCTAAAGCTTAAACTTTCATTATCTATCCCATTATCCTTAGAATATGATGGTACAACTCCAATCTTAAAAATATGGTGTTTTAGTCCTCAACCTTCCAATTAATTAGTTGAAGTTTCAAACACTCTTATTTCTGGGCATTTTCGCCCAGCATAGATGTTGGACAAAGCTTCCCTCCTTTCCATCATCCACTTTGTCATAAGTATTAAATTACCTTTCACTTAAACAATTATAAATACCACTCAAGAGGGAGGTGAAGTGGATTAAGAAACCCTTTCATTATCATAAGGACTTTGATGTGCAATGCTTGTCTTTGAATACACTAATTTGAGCTTCAGAGTGTCGTCCCGAGAAAACTCTCTCTTTGAGATAGACTAATCTTTTGTTTTTTGGCCATGTACATTAAGTGGGATACATTTGTGAATGTCACATCCTAAAGAGTCATATTTACTAAGGATTTTTTTTGAGCTCACAGTCATCATCTATGCATATATTTTATTCTTATATTTTATAATAATAGAATATACGGTTAATTACCCATGCCTTCAAGTTAGATAATATATATTACACATACATCTCATATGTATTCTTAAATTCACTCCCTCCACTGTTGTTAGATATTATATTATATGTTAAACCCAATTGATTTTTGAAATAACACTTTGTGTCCCATATTAGTTATTTAATTACATGTTAAAACCTAATCCGTTTTACTGAGAGATTAAAAAAGGAGCCTGCAAAATTGTAGAGAGATAAAAGAAATGCTGATCTAAATGTCTTCACCCTTCAGTATATTATCTTTTACTATCAAAAAAACTATATTAAATGAGAATTATATATAATTTATTTTCTAATAATTATATTTATATAATATGTATTAAACATGTGCTCGAACATTAGTAATATATATAACATGAACTGCCAAATAATACAGAACAAGCTTGCCAGAAGTTGATTCCTTAGCATTCACTTGATGTGAGAAGTTTATGAGCAACCAAATAGAGGCCCTTAGACGAAGTCAAGCAACTTCTGTGAACTTGGTTCTACTGAGAGGCAAAATTCACTTCTATCTGATTCGCTACTGTTGATGGAGTCTTCTCTAACTTGGATATGTTTGGCGAATTCAATATACTTTAATATAAATTAGTATGTTATGGATGTGGAGATTAAGCATTTAAATACCTGCTTTTTTAATGTTTAGTGTTGCCCTTGAGAAATTTATTTATTTCTTATCGCTCTCTTAAATTGACACCCATCCCCATCAAATAGAGAAATTATTCTGTGCAGAGACCGTACGCAAAACGCCGTCTGGAGACTAACAAGAATGCGCCATGTCAGGGGTACCGAGCAGTACCAAGCCGCGGTACCAAACACATGGGTGATGTGGCGCATTTTGGTTGGTCTCTGAACAACATTTGACATCCGCACAGAATAATTAATCCATCAAATGACATCATTATTTCTCTTCTTTTTGAAAATGTGATTGCAATTAAAGCAATAACTGCCTGAAAGCATATATCACTGAATTCTAACTCTGAATGCGGCACTTTCTTTGTTATTTCAGACTTACAGCAATCGGGCGGCCTGCTACACAAAGTTGGGGGCTTTGCCTGAGGGATTAAAGGATGCAGAAAAGTGCATTGAATTGGATCCATCATTTTCTAAGGGTTATACTAGGAAAGGTGCCGTTCAGTTCTTTATGAAAGAATATGACAAGGCATTGGAAACATATCAGGAAGGCCTGAAGCATGACCCTAAAAATCACGAACTTATTGATGGCGTGCGGAGGTAATAATAGAAGCAGACCTTAATTACTCAAGCTGATTAAGGTTTCGTTTGGGACGGCTTTTTTGCTGCTTCTTAAAATAATTTTTTAGTACAAAAAATTAAAATTTTTACTAGAAAATTACTTTAAGAAGCAGGAAGAAAGCTGCCTCAAACGAAGCCTAAAGGGGGAAAAATGACATATGCTAACGTTTGTTGCTGAAACTGGTTATTTTCGACATGTTTACAGGTGCGTCGAGCAAATCAATAGGACAAACAGGGGTGATATTAGCCCAGAGGAGTTAAAGGAAAGACAGGTGATTATTTTTTTTCCACTCTGAATTATTATTCGTGATTGGGATAATTTCTTTAGTATAAAATTTCAATCTTGTATTGTTTTCTACAGGCTAAAGCAATGCAGGATCCTGAGATACAGAACATCTTATCTGATCCCATAATGCGTCAGGTATTACACCTTTTGCCTGAAGTCCCTCTCCACACGGATTAATTATTCTGTGCAGACACTGCATGGCGTTCGGTGCCGAATGAGAGCGTGTCACGTCACTTTTTTGATGTGTAATATTGTTATGTACTTGGTGATGTGACGCGCTCTTATTCGTCTCTGGACGGTCCGGTATCCGCACAAAATAATTTCTCCTCCTTACTAATAACTTTGCTTGTAAAATTTGTTTTCTATGCCATGATTCATCTCACCTCTTCTTCAGTAACATAAAATGTATTTGATAAAATGGCGTTCAGGTGTTGGTTGACTTGCAAGAAAACCCGAGGGCTTCACAGGAGCACCTGAAGAACCCTCAAGTTATGAATAAGATTCAGAAGCTTATTAGTGCGGGAATTGTTCAGATGAGATAAAAGAGGTGATTGATGCTTGCTAATGCGAGTTTATTGGAGCCCATGATTTAGTTCTGAACTGCTTTCCTTTTTCCTAAATGATTTATGAGTGCTTATTAAACTTGTTTTTATTGAACCACCCTGTTCAGGCTCTCAGTTTCCTTTTTCTTCAAACTTTGTTGTATTTAATCATTAAACGGGCTTTGGGAAAGGCTCATGAACGTTTCTTAATGTTTTCTTTTTTAGCAGTAAAGCTCAAAAATTCTGAATGTGAAGGAAGTGCCAATGTATTTATTTCTTGCGATCAGGAAGAAAGTAAATCTCAAATTATGCATATTCAAGATAATGCTAAAATTTAAGATATTTTATTTTATTTTATTTAGAAATAATGCAGCCACGTATTTTAACAAATTATTTCTTTAGGATCACTATAATTTTTTTTAATCTTACGCAACACCTAATCTTAATTATTTATTTTACGTGCATAAATTTATAGTTATTTATAATTTTCATTTTTTTTTAAAATCATAGGTGTCTTAAAAGTTAAAATTTATGATTGAGGGTTTATATATTGTTGAGTGTATTTCAATAATATTCATGGACTATAACCTTTCCTCTCAACAAATAAATAAATAAATAAAATATAAATAGCTAGACTCTATGTGTGATGATTTTTTAATTGCTTATTAAAGTAGCTTTATTTTTGTTAAAAATATTAATTTTTTAATAAATAGTTACTTTAAGAGCAGTAATTTGTACCAAATGGAGCTGAATGCTTCGACTGCGTTCCTTTGTTAGGCTCCATTTGAGATGATTTTTTTACTACTAAAAAGTAGTTTTTTTTTTTTTTTAAAAGAAATTGAATTTAAACTCAACAAATTAGTAGCAATCTTGTAGCGTTTCATTACATTTTAATGAAATCAGGTATTTCACAGATTGCTAAATAGTATAAATTATTTGTCTTTTTAATTTATCAGAATGTTTAGTTAATATTTAATCAATTAATTATTTTTTAATCTGTTTATTATAAGTCATTATGCTTGCCTAAAATTAATTAGGGAAAATTGCTTTATGTAATAGAAATTGAAGAAGCATTGTTATGGAAATGTCAAAATTTTAATGTAGACGTCATATATATATATATTTTAAGATGTGGTATTGTGTATGCTGGAATTGAAAAATTGTAGAAGTGGTTATATATAGGTTGTTAGTTAGTCGATCTAATTCATTATGGTTTGATGTAGCGGGTAGGATTACGTCAATGTTTTATTCCCTTCGAATGCGCTTGGTTAATTTGTAGAGCTTTATATTTGGTTAGTAGTTGATATGATTTCAGAAGTTAGGTTTTCAAAATGAGTGGATGATCACCACCATTTATGCTCTTGTATGATGGAGAATTATATCTAGATTCTAAATTTATTCCTACGTATATTGGTGGTAAAATTCGTCCATTGCAAGTTCTGGTTAACTCAAATTCACAATAGCTTAAGGTGAGGGATCTTAGAGTGCTCAAGTATGACACATCCAGATTCATAGTCAACCTTGTGTGTCATTTTCCAATTGGGAATGAATTCATTGCTTCACAAGTTAAGGAAGATGAAGTGTCTCTAAAGTTTTTTTATCCCTTGTTGTTGGAGAAGTTTAGCATATGTATGTTGAAGTTGAAGAGATTGCAAGTAGTAATTGTGATGAAAATGCTTCATCTCAAATTCATGATTCTATCACCCAGGATCATGGCGTTGAGACACATGATATTGGGTATAGCCAATTACCCGTGCAAGATACAAGCATTTGATAAGTTCAATATTGAACACATTAATTGTTTGGTGACTCATACTTAATTTGTTTAGTGCTATTTATTTGAACATATGTCAGTATGATGTAGATTTGTGAAAAAAACATTTGGAGCAAATGTGGTTGATCCTTTGACGCATCTCCAACCTACTTTTTTTTAGACTAATGAGTCTAGAGTTTGTGATCATGTAGTTGACTAAGGATATGAGACAATGAGTGGTGATTCAACCGAAAAAGATTTTGAAGATGAGGACGACCTGGTAGTTGATACAAATGTTCGAAGTGTCCTTAATTATAACTATATTAACAAAGTTATTCATGATTACTACATTAGGATAGTTAATATAGAAGCGGGAGTGGCAGACAATAATGAATATACAAAAATTTGTATGAGTGCCACCAGTGGAATGCGGGGAATGCTTCTGACAGTGATAATGTGTTTAGTCTATCAAATGAGGAGTTTTTAATTCCAATAGAATTGGTTGAAGGTATGTGCTTCCGGGAAATCAACACTTTAGTTTGTCGTACATGGTTGGTCCGTCAGGAATAATATTCAATTTGTGGTTATTGCTTCGAATAAACAAATTTTCACAGCCGCAGATAATTGTTCCAGGAAATGACCTTGACTTTTGCATGCAAGGCTGAGCAAAAGATTGGGTGGTGTCTTGAAGATACTGTCCATTAAGCTATAACATTCATGTAGCAATCCTATTCTCGTGGCAGATCATAGGCAGTGTAACTCGCAGTTCATTAGCTTCTTCATTTTGCCTACCATAATAAAGCAAATGGATATTAAACCAACATAGATTATAGGGAGAATTGAAGCAAAATTTAATGTCACAATCTTATACACGAAAGCTTGGGATGCAAGACGAAAACCTATTAAGGTCATATTTGGAAGTTGGGAGGATTTATATAGGACAATTAATCTATTCATGGAAGCAATTGTTGTAGTAATGCCATATACAATTTACAAGATCTAATCCTCTGATTCAAATAGGTTCCAACAAATTTTTTGGGCATTCAAGCCAGTATATCTTGTTGGAGATTTCGTTGGCCTATACTCAACCTAGATTGGACATTCTTTCTATGTAAATAGAGGGGGGCCTTATTTATCGCAGTTGATTTGGATGTTAATAACAACCTCTTTCCATTTGCATTTGCATTAGTTGGTCAGAGTATAATGAATCTTGGATATGAATTCTTAGAACCCTTCATGACTTGCATCCAACCGTTAGCAGCAGATTAAGTCTTTGTATTATCTTAGATAGGCATGATGGTCTCGTCCGTGGTTACAGAAAAATTTTTCCTAATGTTGCACACCGTCATTGTCTAAGACACCTGCACAAAAAACTTCAAAAAAATTTGTACGATAAATGGGTGTTCGTGATGTTGATTTTGTTTGTCATAAGATGTATGTGGCTGGTAATACAGATGATCCCAACTTGTTCAATAAATGCATGGTTGATATTATAAACATAAAACCGTAAAGTGGGCCTTGATGCATGGTGGTGGCTGTTGATATGGAGTTATGACCACCAATGCTTCAAAATACTTCAATGGAGTATTGAAAAGAGCTCATTCAAAATTCTTACCTCTCAATACTTCAATGGAGTATAGATTTGGAGTTATGGCTCGTCGTCGAAGGAGGTGAATAGGCTCATTCAAAACTCTTAATTCTCGGCGTACCACGAGTGGTATAGACTTACTGGAGAAGAGGAAAAGCAAACCCTAGGCCTACAACTAATGAGAAGCCAACAGAGAAAGTTATACTGCTATAGGAATTAATTAATTTACTTCAACTAATTTAAGTAAAATTAATCAAAAATATAATATAATTAATAAATAATTAATGGTATACTTAATACTTAATAATTAATATAATTAGCTTATTTAGTATTTGATATTTAAATTATTAAATGTATTGTATAATTAATAGTGTAAATAATAATTAAATAATTAATGACTAGTAAAATAATTAAGTGATTAATAAGATAATTAATAATTAAAACTAATTAATAGCACTTAAATAACTAATTAAATTATTAATAAGAGTATTAGTTAAATAATTAGTTATTTAAAAATAGTTAATTAATTAATTAGCTATTAAATACTTATTAAATTAATACTTAAATAAGTAATTTGATAATTAATATTATAATTTGTAATTAATTTATTAGTTAAATTATTTGATAAATAAGTTAATTTCAAATTATATTATTTATTATTATAACTTATTAATTGTAATTAAAATTGAAATTAATAAGTAATTCATACTTAACACCTAAATTAAATTTAAACTATAATAAATTTTATTTTTAAATGAATTAATCACCTCAAATTCTAAATTACATTATCAAATAGTTTCAGAATTTAATAGAATTTATTATTAACTTGCCAAACAATTTTCAAAATTTAACAGCTATAGAATAATTCAGGTTTTACAGTATTTACTAAATCATGCATAGTTAAACCCCGATCATTTTCAAACAGGAGGAATTATTTTATGCGGAGTCCGAGCGAGAATAATTGTTTGGATTATGAATGTGCACATTATGTAAAAAAAGAGTATAAAAAATGATACATTTATATATAAATTTATACATAACATGCTGTCTGAAAGATCTGTGGCCTGACTCCGCACAGAATAATTTCTCCTCCCAGCCCCTTAAAAAATTTCCTCTTGAGCGAGTCGCTAAATAACTTTTTCACCTCCTTACTCGTTGAGCTTACTCGTTGTAAAGGTAGCCATCTTTCTTTCGTTCACGCTCTTCTCGACCAAATCCCGTAAATCCGTCGAACTCCCCCAAATTAGGTAAATCCGATATTTACGACAAAAAGAGCGAAACAGATGATTTAACTCATTGTGAGATGTAACGGTTCGTAAATCCTATTACCAATTTAGACAAAATCCTGTTCAAATCCTGCATAGATCTTGTATCGCAACAACCCCTTATATTTAGTACAAAGTAAAAAAAGCGACACATACACAACGGGGCTGTTTGGTAACACTCGGGATTTCATTTAAGTAGTATTTTGTAAATCCTCTAAATTTGGATTTATGAAATCCTAAAAAATGTCCGGTAACATTTATGATAACTCATGTGAAATCGTGTGTGACAGTTTGACTATTCAATTCATGATTTAAAGTAATTAGAGATTTGACATGTATTTATTGGATAATTTGCATAATATAGTATCTTTATTAATTATTAATTAGTTAATTAATTAAATATAATAATTTTCTTTAAAATAAGTTATAAATAATATTAATTTATATGAATTAATGTCTAATTAATTTATAAATATTAATTATTAAGATTAGTTTACTCATTTTAAATAATTTTTCTAAGATTCCTTAGCCTATGCCCTATAGTTAGCTTTTTCCTAGAGGTGCCAATTTCAGGTCATCGGTCGGGTTCAGGTTGAACCCAAAATTGATCTGGCACTATTCAGATCAACCCGAACTCGACTCGTTTTTGCAAACTGATCAACTTTTCGGACCCGAATTTGACCCGTTTCGGGTCCGGGTCAATCCGACACGATCCAAAAATTATTAATTTTCGGGTTTGTCCGGTTAGAAACTGGTCAAAATGGGTATTTACTATTTACCACGGAAGGTGTAATTTTCCGTCTACGGCGGCTTTCATTTACCCTGAGATTTGGTTTTGCGTTTTAGGCCGTTTGGCTGGATTTCGCTCAAAACCGCCTCAAATCCGGCATAAATCCTGCTACAAAACAGCCCCGATGAGTGACGGTCGAGGGTAGGAAAGGTGGATCACAGATGCAGCAGAGGAAACCCGTCGCTGGTCGGCCATCTGGAACCGATGGCTTCGATTACTCTTACCGCATGGTTGTCGATTCCAGTTAAGTACCGTTTCAGGAGTCTTTATCGTTATTTAAACCTTGATTAAAAATTGCATCTTGGTTAAACTCTGCTCGTGATTGTAGGATATACTAAGGTTGCCAAGGGCAAGTCACGCCTTAAATCCATACTAACAACGCAGGTTAATTTCCACTTATTTTGTTTTTGTTTGCTTCATGTTTTACCCAAAGCCTGTCTGCGTATTTTAGATATGTTCTTTTGCGTTATTTTCCTTGCATCTTCGGATTGGCCTCTTTAGGTCGACGGCCTTACTGATTTTGTAAGAACCTTATGATCTTAATCACCTAGAGTCATCGAAAATGGAGTTAATGCTGAGAGATGAAACGATAGTTTATATCTTGTGATCTTATGATAGTTTATTTGTTGTTCTCTATTATGTTTAGAATAATGCTACTCTCCACAAGTAGATTCACACTTAGGGGCTATTTGGTAGCACCCAGGATTTGATTTAAGTAGGATTTCATAAATCCGCTAAATCCAAATTTCGGAAATCCTGAGGGGCCTAAATCCTAAAATTGTTTGGTAACATTCATGATAATTCTTATTAAATCTAGTGTGATTGTTTGGCTATAGAACGGATTTGACGAGTGGACTCTTCCTCTCGAGCCAACGGAGTTCGTAAATACAGCAAAAACCAGGATTTGGGAAATACGGGATTTAGAACGAAAAGGCGGAATTTTTTTTCTACGATGACTTTCATTTGTTGTGAGATTTGGTTTTGCATTTTAAGCTGTTTGGCTGGATTCGCTCAAATATGCCTCAAATCCGAGCTAAATCCTGCTACAAAACAGCCCCTTAGGGCCCTAAGGGGGTGTTTGGTTCGCTCACATCTTTTGATGTCCAATGTTTGGTTCTCGAACATCTTTAAAAAGCAATATCATAAATGACAATCAAGGTCCTATTTTGATGACATCTAGGATGACATCTAGTTGTTAGGCTATTTAACTGCTAAAATAAATTATTATAAAAAGAAAGATTAAAACTATCATTAATGTTTTTAGATAACATTATATTGTTAAGTAACACTGAACCCACCGCATTGATTTCATAGATGAAAATGTTATGTGAATAGCATTGCTATCTAGGTAGCACTCTTATCCAAATGCCATTGAATCAAGCGAGCTCTTAAAATAGAATCACAAGAACATTCATTATTTAATGCTAAAAAAACGTGCAATTGTGACCTCGGCTGTTATCTTTTTCGACATATGTTACAATTTTAACCTATATATATGGTGTATAATTCAAATGTAAGATGCTTTACTCAAATGCAAGAGCCTTCATCCATACGTAAAGGTTTAGTACATATAAGATCATTGACTTGGTTATAAGATTTAGCTCTGTGTTTTCTCTATTTTCCTATGATGCATCTGTGATTCAACTTGATGGAAACTTTATAACATTGTAGTAATTTGATAATGCAGGGTGTACTCCAAGTTATCGGTTCTTTATTAGTTGTACTTGCATCACGAGATAAGGGATTTGACAACCTTGTAGTTGTATCTGTTTCTATTGGGTTCATTTCTCTTTTGATCGGAGAATTAGGTATGACAGTTTTTATTTTTTATTTTTAGATCTCTTACATGTTTAGTAAAGTATATCTGATCTTTTTTTCCACTTTGGAAAGGTCGTAGGCGCAGTCAAGTTAATTTATTGAGACTCTTTCTCAGTTTTTCTGCTGTTGGGATTGTGGTTGCTACAGCACATGTAGTCTGGAATGATTTATTTTTTAAGGTAATGAATTCTTATTCCTTTTTTTCAGAAGGACCATCTAAATTTTTGAAAAAAAAAACTTTTTTCCTTGCTAGATAACTTTATGCCCGTGAGGTATGTGTACATTTAAAAAGTATTATTTTAATAATGATAAACATTTAGGGGTATGGGAACATGGACAAGGGATCAATCTAGCCTACTTTACATTGGGTTATTTGTATGTGTGTTTGCTGAGTTGGGGGAAAGGCTGTAAGCACTAACCTAGCAAAGTAAAAAATGTTTAAGAAGATATTTAGAAGTCATTAATGGTAATAAACTGTTCAGGGGCCATGGCCCCTTCGGTTTGTCAATGTCACATAACCAATTGATGGTTAATTTACAACTAATCTAATGTTTTCTGGTTTGTTATTCCTGAAACTTGGTTTTGTTTATATTTTCATGCTTTTTTTTCCTTGTTTGGGGAAGTGTATCTATTTCTATTCCATGCAGCTAAGTTTGCTAAGTTGCTGTATTAACTACAATGTAGCTGTTTATTGACGTGCGTATAGAGAAAGTTGAATATATTTGGTTGTGACCATTATTATAACCGTTTGACTAGTGGATGGTGTGGTTAACCTGATTCCTTTAACTTAAATTTTATGGGCATCTCCAACCGAAAATCTCATTTTTTCACTCCAAAATTCAGTGAAACTAAAAAATGGTATGATTCATCTCCAATCGAACTCCATTTTGCACCATTCGCAGAAGGTACCGTCTTTCTACACTTTCGCGCATTTCTTCGGCAAATCCCGTAGAGATAGAAAAATAACGTAGGTGAATAGTTCAACACCAATATTGGCTTCGCATTGTTCACCCCAACCAAATATTGGAAGTTTTGCCGTTGGAGCTCGCAAGCGACGCCATTCATGCGTTTGGAGTTTAGTTGGAAAAGGCCTAAGAGATTGGACTTGCAAAATACCTCATTTTTTCATCCACACATTTGAGTGATATTTTAGACCATGGTTATGAAAAAATGACTGAATGGCTAAAAATCTGGAAAGCCCAATTTCATTCTTTCGCTTCCCTGTCAATCACAATCAGAAGAGATCCTTCTGCTAATGTAGGCTTCAAACAATCTATCATTGATTTCTGGTACGCAGAGGATACACTTCTTATTTATTCTGTCCTTTATCATACTTTCATTATATATGATTATCAGCAATGCCATATCACATCCATCTGCATAATTTAATCATATAATGTACGTGAAAAACCATCACCGCTCTTCTCCATTAATCTGCAAGAAAGAGCTTAGCAAGAAAGATGAGCCGTTAAGCTTGCTATGGAATTCAAGTATGCATTACTGTAGCAGACTTAGTCTTTAAATACACCGTGTAAGCAGAATAAGGTAAAAAGCCTAAACTACCCTGGACAGTTACTTGCAACAGAAATAAGCAGGCTGCAGTGGTAGTGGTTGCAGTGCCTAAAGGAGCTTGTACAGTAATCGTGGAAAATGATGAAGGCTTATCACCGTCCCTCAAGTTAATGGGCGGTACAACCATTAAATTGGTGCGAAGAGCATGGAACTTTGAATGATGCAGAGGCTTGGTAAGTATGTCTGCAATTTGATCATCGTTGGCAACATGATGGATGGCAGTATGCTTCGCCTGAATGTTGTCCCGAAGAAAATGATGGTCTATTTCAATATGCTTTGTGCGAGCATGGAAAATGGGATGTTGAGCAATTGAGAGAGCAGAGATGTTATCGCAATAAATAGTGGATTGCTCAAGTGTAATCTGGAAATCTTTGCATAGCCGACGTATCTAAATGAGGTCTGCAGCGACAGTCGCTAACGACCGGTATTCCGCCTCCGTGGAAGATCGAGCAACGGTTGACTTCTTCTTAACGGTCCAGGCAATTAAGGCTTTGCCAAGAAAAATGCAATAACCTGAAGTTGATTTTCGATCAAGAGTGTCTCCAGCCCAGTCAGAATTGACGAAGGCTGTCAGGAGAAGATCTGTTTTTGGAAAGAACAGAGTGTAGCCGATTGTGCCTTTTAAATAACATAACACACGTTTTAAGAGCTGAAAATGTAGAATCAGAGGTGAATGCATATTTTGGCACAATTTGTTGACGGCAAAGGCAATGTCCGGTCGTATTGATGACAGGTACTGTAAGGAGCCTACCAGTTGGCGAAACAGTGCTGGTTGAGCAAACGGTAGTAAAAGAGAGGAATCGGTGGGTAGTTTGTTGGGCATAGGAGTTTGAATTGGTTTGCAGTTGCTCATAGAGGCATTGAGTAGAAGATCATGTATGTAGGTGGTTTGATTGAGATGGAAACCCGTAGGAGTTCGGGTGAAGGAAATGCCGAGAAAGGAAGAAAGCATACCGAGATTACAAATTTGAAATTTGAGATTTAGGTTCGAAATAAGAGAGCTGATAAAAGAGGGATTGTTACCAGTAATTAGAATATCATCTACATAAATTAATATGTAGACTTTCAAATTGTATTTGGATAGGATTAAGAAGAAAGTGTCGGCGGTGCTGACATGAAAATGTTGAGTAAGAAGGTAATTGGTTAAGGTGGCAAACCAAAGACGAGGAGATTGTTTAAGACCATAAATTGCTTTATTTAGAAGACAAACGTGATGAGGAAATTGTGGATCAGTGAAGCCGGGAGGTTGGATCATGTAAATGGTTTCGTCGAGCTTGCCGTGAAGGAAAGCATTGATGACGTCTAATTGAAGAACGGGCCAATCGAAATGCAAAGCAACGGTTAGAAAGATGCGGATGGTAGGGAACTTGACGACTGAACTGAAGGTCTCATGGAAGTCGGTTCCATATTCTTGTTGAAAACCTTGAGCGACTAATCGTGCTTTATAACCAGCAATGGAACCGTCTGTGTGACTTTTAATTTTATAGATCCATTTGCAACCGAGTACTTGTTGTTTTAAGAGAGGAGGAACTAGAGACCATGTGCGTTGGGTAGAAAGGGCATTGTATTCAGCTGACATAGCTGTCCGCCAATGTGGTGATTTGTTTGCAGTGGTAAAGGAAGTGGGTATAGGCTCAATGGTATGGTTGAGGTTGAGAAGTTGTCGAGGCTTTAATGAACCGGTTTGAAAACGGGTGACCATATGGTGGTGTGGTGCAACAGAAGAGGAACTAGAGGTAGATTGGTTTGTTGAAGTGGCATGTGGCAGTATGGAAGTGGAAGATGTAGATGAGGGAATTTGTGAGGGAAGTTGTGGGGAGGTAGTTTTAAGTGGGGAAGGGAGGATAGAGTTGTGTGAAGGTCTGTTGTGTTGAGACGGGTGGAAATGGTGGAATGGGAGTTGGGGTAGTGGGAGGATTGGGTAAAGGCAACGGGTTGGAAAGCTGAGATGGAAAGGTTTGCTCATTGAAGGAAACATGGCGGGAAATGTAGAATTTGCCTGTTTCGGAATGGTAGCATTTGTAACCCTTTTGAGCAGGAGCATACCCAAGAAATATGCATGGTAAGGAACGTGGAGCTAATTTATGTGGAGCATAAGGGCGTAGCCATGGGCAGCAACGACATCCAAATATTCGTAAATAGCTATAGTGGGGTTTGGTGTTATAAAGAAGTTCAAATGGGGAATATTTAGGATTGTGGGAGGAAGGTAATATGTTGACGAGGTATACGGATGTAGCGAGAGCCTCAGTCCATAGATTGGGAGGTAGATGAGCATCAATGAGTAATGTGCGGGTTGTTTCAACGAGATGACGGTGTTTGCGCTCGGCAACGCCATTTTGTTGAGGCGTGTGTGGGCAAGTGAGCTGGTGTACAATGCCGGTAGTAGAGAAGAAAGATTTCAAAGTTTTATTCACAAACTCTGTACCACCGTCGGAACGGATAGTTCGAACAGAGGCATTAAGTTTTTTTTGAATTTGACGGACGAATTGAATTAAGTTGGAAGCAACCTCTGATTTTAATTTTAAAGGGAAGCACCAGGAGAACTGTGTATAGTCGTCAACAATTAATAAGTAATAACGATATGCATCATAGGAAAGGGCTGGGGAAGGACCCCAAACATCTATATGTAAAAGTTCTAAAGCAAATCTAGATACATGGTGGGAGGGAGAGAAGTGAAGTCTGTGACTTTTAGCAAGTTCACAATAGTTACATTTCGAACTAGAAAAAGAAATACATAAATTCGGTTGCTGCTTGGAAATGGATTGAAGAACTTTGAAGTGTGGGTGACCAAGTCGACGGTGCCAGGTCGTTGCAGAGGACGAATAGCGAACAGTAGCGGAATTGGCCACGGTTTGATGAGGTGTAGAAGCGAGCGAGACTAGATAGAGCCCATTACGGCATGGACCACTGAGAAGAGTTTTGTTGGTCTTCGAATCCTTGATATGAAAACCGAGATGATAAAAAACAATGGAGCATTTATTGTCATTAATAAGTTTAGAAAGGGAGAGAAGTTTATGAGTTAAGTTGGGAACGTGAAGTAAGGGAGTAAGAAAAAGCTTACGATTGGGGGTGTGAAGTAATCCATTACCGAGATTATGGATTGGTAGAGGTGCACCGTTGCCAACCAACACATGATCCTTACCGGTATAAGGCTGCTGAAAAGGTAGAGGATCCGGTGACAGGTGAGCAGTCGCTCCACTGTCAAGATACCAAGGATTTTTATCTGTCGGCGGGTTGTTGTTGGCAACCAGAGCTACATCAGAGGTAGGTGTTGGAGAGGAATACTGGAAATTTCCTCTATGCCAGCAGGTAACAGCAGTGTCCTGTTTTGCCGCAGATTTGGCATTGTCCATCAAAGCGAGGTGTTCGCGAGGGACGAGTAGAACTAGAACTTCGTCCACGACTACGAGCGGCATTGTAACGGCCACGGCCACGTCCACGACTGGAGTAGAGAGCAACGGTTGGATTTGACAGAGACAGGGATAGTTCCTTAACTGCATCAGTCGTCTGATGCACTTCCTCCCTCCGAAGTAAGGAATAAAGATTATCTAAACTAATCGGATGAAGAGACGATCTGATGAAGGTCTTGAAAGATTGATAAGCAGGCGGTAAGCCGTTCAGAATATAATGCAGAACGTCTTCATTGTCGACCGCTCCACCGGCAGCGCTGATGTTATCAACGAGAACTTTGACGGAGGCAAGCTACTCAGTCATTGATTTGTTCTGCATAGATAGAGAATGGAGTTCGTTTTTTAATTGAATAACACGAGATCTATTGGTGGAGTAAAACCGTTGATCAAGTGTTTTCCAGATGGAGGCGGTGGTGTCGAGGTTGAGAACATAAGGTAAGATCGACGAAGAAATGATGGAGAAGAGAGCGACAGAGAGATTCTGATCAACAAGTGTCCAAGAAGAAAACTGAGGATTTAAAGTCAGCGGCCGGTTGCAGTGAGCGGGTGCTTGGGTGGTGGAGGTTGAGAACCATCAAGGTAGCCGGAAAAACTGTTCGCTGCAAAGAGTTTTTGAATGGCGGAGCGCCAAGTGGGATAGTTGTCCGGAAGCAGTTGAATGTGTATGACATTCTTCATGTTCGAGAGGAGGAACTTGAGGGTGGGAGGAATGACATTGGGAACTTTGGAGTTGTTCTGAGTCTCGTGAATAACTGCCGGAAGTGTGGAGGGCGCTGAAGCTGCAGTCGAGTCTCCCATTGCGAACAAAAAAAGGAGCCGTTAGGCAAGGAAGCTCTGATACCATGAAAAACCATCTCCGCTCTTCTCCATTAATCTGCAAGAAAGATAGAGAATGAGCCGTTAAGCTTGCTATGGAATTCAAGTATGCAATACTGTAGCAGACTTAGTCTTTAAATACACCGTGTAAGCAGCATAAGGTAAAAAGCCTAAACTACCCTTGGCAGTTACTTGCAACAGAAATCAGCAGGCTGCAATGGTAGTGGCTGCAGCGCCTAAAGGAGCTTGTACAGTAATCGTGGAAAATGATGAAGGCTTATCAGTACGATGGCTTATCAGTTTTGTCTGAACTGGTTTGGCCGGAGATCCATTTCCATTGCAATAGTTGGCTTCTTTCCTTGTATTTTCTACTTAATAAAATTTTGTTATTGCTACCTGTAAAAATTTCTTTAGGATTCATACTCCCATATAATATGCACTCTTAATTTTTTTTTCAGTTAAATTTGTCTAATAGGGATAAAGACTGGAACGGATGATTGACTAAATTCTCGCTAATAATGGTTGTGGGTATACTTTGTTAAAATGGGCTGATAACGGTAAAATTAGCTCCATATGCTTGTTAAATTATCTTTGAAAATCGTTATGCCTGACATTTTACTATATTTATATAGGGGTTTCAATATTTGACATGATCCGAAAATCCGACATGGAAATTTCTGGTTTGGATTGACCCAAACCCGGTTCGGGTTAGGGTTTTCAACCCGTTTCAAAAATCGGGGCGTGTTCGTGTTGACCCGAAAACTGGAAATGACCCGGGAAAAAGGCGTCTGCTTGCTCTGCCCATGTAGCCTGCCTCGCTGCCCGCATAGCCTGCCCCACTGCTCGCTTGACCTGACTCTCGCCCGTTGCATCTGACGCCTAACCATGATGTCGCTGCCTCCGAGCCGCTGTCGCTATCGCGTCTGCCGCGCGTCACCGCTCCCACGATGTCGCGTCGCATCACATGTCGTTGTCGTGCGTCGCATCGCGTCTGCCCGCTGCCGCTTCCGTCGCCATTGCCACTTCGAGCGCCAGAGTTGCACAATTTCTGCCACTACCTAAGTCGAAGCGGAGTTACAGGATTTGACTTACGGGTCGGGTCGACCCGAACCCAACGCAGGTTGATTTCATGTTCAAAAAATCAACCCGTTTGCAAAATGGGTTGAATTCGGGTTGAGCCAAATAGTATTGGGTCAATTCCGGATTCTACCCGAACTCAACCCGTAACCCAAAATTGACACCCCTAACTATATACATGATTAAATCTACATGCATTCATGGTTTCTGTAAAGCATAAATTTTTGCAGCTTCTTCTTTGTTTATTTGTTATCTTGCTTATTTATTGTGAGTTGACTAACAGCTAATGTTTCTAAGGTGTAACATGCGTGTTAGAACTTCAATTTCTATAGAGCTTGATAAGATACGCATATAAGGCCCTCTTATTGTTTAGTTTTTTCCTTAATTCCTGTAGCTTGTATATTATTTGATCATTGTTTTTCTCTTTTCTTTTTTCAACTTATTGTGTTTTGTTTATTGCTTGGTTCATTCCTTCTAATCATCGTCCTTACCCTAATGTTTTGCATCTTGCTCTTTCTAATATCGTCTGTCAGCTTAAAAAAGTTCTCTCCATATTTCTTTTCTTGAATAAAGGACATTATTATCAGTATTATGCATGTTTTGTCTTCTTGTATTCCTTCGTTGCCTCGCAAAATTTCATCTTTCAGTAAAGCAGAAGTCCTCAACAAAATTGCTTATGTAACAGCTTTTCAAAACTCAAGATTTCTCATCCATAACAAACTACGAGTTGGGCGAGACCGTTTACATCTTGCTTGGTAAGTCTAGCTTTCCACCGATTAATAATTCTGTGCGGACGTCGAATTCCGTTTGGAAATCAATCAGAATGTGATACATCATCTCTTGCTCGATACCGTGGCTCGGTACTACTCATACAGCGGTTCGGTACTGTTGACGTAGCGCATTCTGATTGGTCTCTAAATAACGTTCTATATCCGGTATCCGCACATAATAATTTCTCCCTTCCACGGGCTGCATATATAGCTTTCTCGCTAACTCATGCCTCTTAATCTGCACTCTGGTTGGCACTTTGGCAGGTGTTTTGCTGCATGTTTTAGCTATCATCACTGCTGTTGCTCTTCTGCAGAACATGTCTCCTAAGAGAACTACCTGATTTTGTTTTCTAATAAGCATCTTCTTTACTTGGCCGCAAGGTTGCGATTAATTATTCTTTGTGGATGTCGAACGCCGTCTATAGACTAATCAGAATATGTCATGTCACATATGTGCTCGGTATTGTTGATATGGTGCATTCTGGTTGATTTCCGAACGACGTTTTGCGCTCTGTCTCCGTCTCCGCACAGAATAATTTCTCCAAAGTTGCATCATATTGTTATATTTAACCATTTTTCTTTTTATTTCCTTGCCTTTTCTAAGTATGAAAAAACACAACTGGAAGCGAGTTTAGTTATAAACTGTTTGTCAATGATTAATAGCGTTGTGAACTTTTCATTTTATCTTGAAATTCTGCTTTTGTTGTTTTAGTTTATTTGGCCATTAGACTTGTGATTTATTTTTGAGCTGGATTTTTGTTTGCACTTTCAGCACAATTTTTTTTAATAGCTGCATGGAGATGCATTCCTCCCTTCACAAAATTTTAAAATTATTCAAATTTAAGATTAAAAAGTTTAATCATATATATTTATTTAGCTAAAAAAAATTATAAATCTTATTGGGAAATAAAGACTACTTTAACATATCAAGAATGATTAGGGGTGCGAATTAAGATGACGTGCGAGATGATTTGGGCTCGATTTGATAAATGACTCTAGTAGAGCTCAATGAGTTAATGAGCTAAATTTGTGCTAGCCATGACCAATTCATTAGTTTATAGGCCCGCTTGTTTAAAAGATATTAATATAAAATATGATTAAAATATATTAAGATTGTACAAAATTATTTAAAATATTTTAAAGTTGTTTTTTCATTCTCTTATGTTATAAATGATTATTTATTATTTTTTATAGTTTTTCATTTTTTATTATTTTATTATAATATTTATTTTCTCTCCATAACAAATAAGTTAAATGCTCGAACACGATTAATCAATCAAGTTGAAGCTGCCTCAAGATTCTCTCACTCCTAAGAATAATGATAGAGGTTATTAGGAAAAGTAATAAATTATTTTTGATGAGATGAAATTGATTAAGCTAATGTGCTACTAATATTATATATATAATTTATGTTGATCAAAGTAGGGGTGCAAACGGTCAGATATTTGTTTAATTTAGTCAAGCTTGTTTAGTTGTTATTGAGCTCGATTCGTTAAAAATCATTAGGCTCGAGCTTGTTTGGAAAGCTTGAGCTTGATTTTTCAGTTTTAAATTTAAAAAATCAATGTTTGTTTTTAGAATTTTTAATTTTAAATATAGAAGAGCCTAATCTCCCATCCCAAAGACCCACATTGTCCTCAAGATGGAAAGACGACTCACTCCTCATCACAAATAGTAAGAATGATAAGTATTTTAAATTAATTATTAAATATATTTTAATTTAATTGAGTAGCTCAACGAGCTTTTGAGCCCAGCTAGGCTTGAGCTCGAGCTTGATTTCGTTTAATATATAGGCCAATGGTATTTTCCAATTTCGACGACGTATGCTAAGCTTTTCTCCCCTGTCGCTTGTCCTCATCGTGGGCAATTTTTGCTACTCGCCATCTCTTCCTTCAGCTCTGGGAAGTTTATCTTTCCTTTATGATTGATTTTTTTCTTCTTTCATGATGATTTGGTTTCTCCTTGAGCATTCCGCCTTTACTGTGGCGAATGGCGGTTAAGTTAGATGATCCTAATTTTTTGGATAAAAAAAATTCTAATTTTTTGGATGGCAAATCCAACTCCCATTCATTTATTGACGCCCTAATGAGGTCTTCCTCGTCTGGGTCATTTGTAGACCTTAAACCATCTTATCGGGGTTTGCCCTCTCTTTGGATTTCGGAGGAAGAGGTCTTAGCTCTTGCAACCCATTTTGCTTTTTCTCTTGTTGGCTATTTCCCTAATCATAGGCCATCTTGGATGCAATTAGGGAGTTCTTCTTTAATTTAAAACTCTCATGTGAATTCTTCGTCACCCTTTTGAATTCTCATCATGTTATGATTAAATTGCAGTGAGATTTGGATTACTATTGTGTCTTTGCTCATCAAACCTACTTTGTTTGTAACTATTTCATGAAATTGACAAAGTGGTCACCATTTGTGGACATTTCCAAGGAATTCCTCATTATTCTTGTTTAGGTCTTCTTCCCGAATATGCGACTGCATTTATTTTTTCCCCGTAAATTACATGGTATTGGATCTCTCTTTGGACATCCTCTTCGTACTGATGCCACTGCGGTGGGATCTCGCTTGTTGGGATCTAGAGTTTTGATGGAACTCGATATCATGGAACATTATCCTGATATGGTGTGGTTGTGTCTTAAAAATTTTGGTTATATTTAAACTATGATGATAGATGAATTTTCATCATTTTGTGATCATTGTAAATCTTTAGGTCATTCTAGGAAAGATTGTGTAACTCTTCATCACCAAATAGTTGAGGACAATTGGGATAATGTGATTGTTGTTGGAGAATTGCTCGATGCACATACAAATTCTCATGGCAATGTTAGTATTAGCTTAACAATGCACGATGAGATGGAAGTTGGTGTTGCTGGTCATTTGGATAATGTGATTGCTGATGAAGTGTGAAATGTTATGCCCATCAATTTGGTTCATGGGGACCCTTTGATTCCACCTCTAACTGCTTCAGAGAAGGTCGATTGTGTTAATTTGGATTTGGATTATCCCGTGCAAGAAGAGATTCATGGTAATGTTAATATGGAGGCTTTATATCAATTGGCTATAATCCCATCTGTTGAGGCTACTCAAGCCGATGCACCTGTGGAGGATCATTGCCCTACCAACACGGTGATGTTGGATGATTCCTCTTCTGGAACTAATATTTTTTCTCCCTTGCTTACATCTGATATTGCTTTGTCACATGTGCATATGCAACCAAATGGAGTGGCTTTTATTGATGTTTCGGTCTCCCTTATCTCCAATGATGAATTGAAAGCTCATATGTAGGTAAACATGAAGGGTAGCTACTTGGAACAATCCGACTGGTTGGACGGGTCTGCCTCCTCGCTTGGGGATGTTCGTTATGACCATGGTGATGATTTTCATGATTTGTTAGCTTTGGAGGTTAGTTATTCTATTGATAAGGCCTTCTCGCGTGGGAATGACAATCGTGGTATGAGGAAATTCAAAAGGAAGTAATGTTGATGAGTACTTTTTCTATGTTGATGTGTATTTAGTTGTTTGGTTTGGTGGGCTAATGGTTTTATTTGGGGCTTGTTGGGTTGGGTTTCTACTGCTTTTTTATCATGTGGAGTTTTTTTAGTCTTGGATGTGTCTGGTGTTTGTTGCTTTCTTGGTGGTGATTTTTTCTTGGTTGGCTGTGTTTAGGATGCTGCTTCTTTAGTTACTTCTAGACAATGATGATGCCGCATTCTACTACCTTCTAGTTGGTTGTGGTTTGTTGGCAACCTTGGTGGTTCTTTTTTGATGGTCTTCATTGTCTTGTAGGTTGATATTTATTTCATTTGTGATTTTCCTTTTCTAGTGGTCTGCTGCCCTAATGCATGGTCCCAGCCTAGTGGCTGGGTGGTTGCATGAAGCTATTATTTCCCGAGTATGACTAGCTTCTTCGCCTTATTCACTAGCTAGTCTTTATTATTTCCTCTGTCATCTGTTGGTCCTTCTAAGAATGAAGATGTTTTAGTACCACATGATTATGGGCCCTATGGGAGAAGCGTTGGAATCTCCAACATGGCGACCATGGGCCAATCCCATGATAACGATAAAAATTCCATTTTCAGCCATTATTGGATATATCCATAATTAACAAAGCATAAACGACACGGCTCCATGCAATAATTTTCATAGATATCTAATTTGTATTATGGAATGCAAAAATATCTATCTCCACAAGCCAATAAATTAGACGGCAAGTGGCAAGTGACAATCGGCCACTTATTCCTTCCAATCTCTTCCTTCATTAATCCATCGTTGCAATTCGTCATATCCTAACAGATGCATCCATCCATGATCAGTGTAGATTTGTGGCGTTCAACCATTGTTAACTTTGTTTCCTGAGATGATTAATGATTTGCGAACAAATCCTACAGTGGATTAGTTAATGAACAGATTGTGTGTAATGCTAGGGAAATTTATTATTTTAGAGTAGGGGTGTCAAAATGGATTTGCGGCTCGCGTTTTGGTTGAACCTAGATTGACTCGGGTTTAAACAGGTTGATCCTAACCCGACCTGATTTTGAAAACGGGTTAGGAAATTCGACCCGGACCCGACCTTTGCGGGTTGCTAGGTTGAACAGAGACCACCTGCGGACCAGCTTTTTTTTCGAATTCTGGGCAGTGGGCTAGGGCTAGACCGCTAGGCTGAACCGCTAAAGGCGGGTTAGGCAAGGCAGAGGGGGACCAGGCCGAGGCCATGGCTCGTGCAGGAGTCTTGACTCGACTACAGCGTGGTGGACGTTGGATGCGTGGCGTGTTGAAGACTGAAGGCGGTTAGGCCGAGGCGGGTTGCAAGCGAGGGCTAGGGCCGCTAGGCGGCTGGACATGTGTGCAGACGCCAGATTGGGATTGGGCTAGACTCGAACCGGGCCAACTTAAGGTTGATTTCGGGTTGCCGGGTTAACCTTAACCCAACCCGATTTTATAAACGTATCACATTTTTTAACCTGAATATGACTCGTCTGACAAATGGGTTGACCCTAACCTAAAATTTTTCTGATCGAATTTGGTGTCGTGTCAAATAATTTAGAGTGATCTCAAGAATAGAGAATGTGTGGTCTACTGCATCCATCTGTATGAGTGTTGTTTGATCACATAAAACAAACTATAAGAATTGTCACTTTCCAAGACATTTAATTTGGATATGGGAAGCAAAAATATCTGTCTCGTGGAATGATATACATACACGCATCAATATACATCAGATAGCTGGCTCATGTTGCATGTAATTCCTCCCCATGTCTACCTTCACTGCACGCCTCTTCCCAGAAAAAACCCAGCCTTAATTGGGACCCCACGAAGAGGTTTCAATTTTCAATTTGTTGCCAAAATACTACAATGATTTCTCATAAGCTGTCGACTTGCATTGTAGGAGCTTGAATCTTAGTCTTCATTTGAGATATCATCTAAAGTAGTTTTTTTTTTAGTATAAATTCTTTGTTTTTAGCTATAAATTTTTGCGCTTAAAAAGTGGCTTCAGAAAACAATAAGAACTTTGTTCCAAATAAAGCCTTAGTTACATATTGTTAGGAACTTGGATGAGGAAGAAATACTTCTTTCATGAACTTCTTGAGATAGGAGGGAGAGGGAGAACATCAAACTCAATTCTTATTTTTTAAATCATGCACTAATTACAAACTAAGGATGTCATGCCTTCCATCATTCATCCTAGCCAATCTGGTTTTGTTATGGACCGTATTATTTCTGATAACATCCTACTGGCTGATGAGCTTCTCAAAGATTTCAACGGACAAATGTTCGCCATGAGCACTTTCTAGGTCCACTTTTGCTTATTAATGCTCCGTTTAACATAACTTTCTTGCTGCTTTTTAAATCAACTTTTTAATACAATATTTTTTAATATAATAAAATAAAGATAAAATTTTATCTCAAATGAAACTTAGGTGCATATGCCACTATACTCTTTTCATAATATTTTTAGAAAATTCAGATAGTCACCATAGCATTTTTCTAAACTAATTTAACTATTTTTGTATCATATAAGACTCTCCCAACCTTCAATACCAATAAATGTAATAATATATATATTTATATTTAAAAATAATTAATTTATTTTAGTATGCACTACTGTTACAACATATAAATATATAATGCAGTAATATGGAAAATATATAAAATATCTCTTAATAAAAATATTTTAATAAACTCATAGATTTTCAGCCCATTCAGAATATTAGCCTACCTAAGACAGTTTAAAGCAGAAGACCTGCTGGTGGAGGAGCAATTATGTCAATGTGGTCCACCTTGCAATTTTTAGAGAAGGACATACGGCTCCACCTTGCAGGCGCAGCGCAACTTAAGCCAAGTTGCTCGCCGGTGATGCCAACCCATCAACTTGATACCCAATTAAAAAATGTCTGGTTGCCCTATCGCGCTCTAATTACGCTATAAGCTTGCATTTATTTATTTTTTTTCACTAATTTGGTTTGAAATGTGTTTCTTCACAAATGTGGGCCCACCCCATCGAGGGCTTAGCTGGGTTGGTGGACGAGTATGGTTGGGAGCCTTTCAATCCATGTTCGAATCCCCATTCATACGACGCGACTCCTTAAGTTGAGAGAAAATAGTTACAAGTCATGCACTTGCGAGGTTGGTTACTGGTAGGCTCATCAAGAGATTAATTATGCCACTAAAAACTTTTTAAAGAGAAAATTATTACATGCATCGTCCGGAGGTGAATTCGGATGCACCACATAATCAGAGCCCAATGCATCATGGTGATGTGGTGCATCCGAATTCGCCTCACATTGATCGGATGCCGCACGTAATAATCTCTCATCTTAAAAGTATGGCAACCGATAGATATCCCAATTAAAAAAAAAAAAAAAAAACATGCGGGCCCACACCTGGAACCACGCCTATAAAATGAGCCGAGCATAACCCCTAAATCCAAACATCGACCCCTTTCGTCTTCTTACTAATCCCTTGCAAGTAAATTACAATGGCGCCATCCACTCAGCCTTTCTTTGCAACTACCACGCTTACTATATTTCTGATAATGCTCAGTCTCCGCCTAAACCCATCCCACGCCGCCAGACCACTCCCAGCCAACAGCAAGACGGCGACGTCGGCGTCGACCAACGCCGCCGAGCTGTTCGTAAAAAGCGCGTGCAGTTCCACAACTTACCCAGACCTCTGCGTCAGCTCCCTATCTTCCTATTCCAGCAGCATAAACAAAAGCCCAATGCTCCTCGCCCACACCGCCCTTTCCGTCAGCCTCGACGGCGCGCGGTCCGCCTCCACTGCCATGCGGTCCATGTCCACTGGCGGCGGGCGCTTGAGTCCGCGCGAGGCGGGCGCGATGAGAGATTGTGTGGAGAACGTCGGCGACTCCATCGACGAGCTGCGAGACTCGTTGAGCGAGATGGGGACTCTGCGCATGGGCAAGGATTTGGCTTATAAGATCAACAGCATACAGACGTGGGTGAGCGCCGCGCTCACCGACGACGACTCCTGCATGGAAGGATTCAGAGGGAAGCGCATGGATGGTACTGTGAAGACCGCAGTGAGGGGTCCTATAGTCAACGTGGCTCATCTGACCAGTAATGCTCTCGCCCTCATCAATGCTCTTGCGTCTTCCACCACCCACTCCGGCGCCGTTGCTCCGTGATATATCTCATCATCGTCGTCGACGTCTCTTCTCTTAGTTACATCTACATGTAATCTTAGTCATTAAGTACTACTTAATTTCCGCGTGTTATATGTGCTGTACGAGCATGATAAAATTAGTGATTAGTTATCCTTAATTTTGTGATTAATGAATAGCTCAAGGAAGTTCATTTGGATTTTATTATTGTTTTTTTTTTAAATAATTCTTTTTTTTTTTTTTTTTTTTTTAAAAATAATTTTTTTTTTTTTTTTTTGGATATTTAGATCAACAACAACAACTACTACAACATCAAGCATTTGTCCCACTATGTGGGTTCGACTATATGAACCCTTTTTCTCCATTGTGTTAGGTTAAAAGTTAAATATTTCTCGTTTAAATCTAATAAAGAAATGTCATTTCTAATATTTTCCAACCAAGTCTTTTTAGGTCAACCTCTATCTTTCTTAACATAAGTTAAATCTAATACCTCTACTTTTCTAACTGGGTCATCATAAGGCCGCCGTTTTATGTGACCAACACATCTAAAGCGACTCTCTCAAATCTTATCTTCCATGCAGCTACTCCAACCTTTTCAAATATATACTCATTTCTAAGACCTCTTGTCATCATTCATTGTCAACGCCTGAATTTAGAAAGCATTACAATAGATGCTTTCTATTTTGTTTTTACCCCTCTTTTCCAAAAGAAAAGACGTTTTCTATTAACTTTGATCCCAAAGGTTTGCTTTTGAACTATCTATTCGGTTTTCCTATTAAAATTCGAGAGTCATGTCAAAGGGATCTTTTCAAAGGCAAACTTTATTTGCTTCATCTTAAATTGATTAATTGAACTCTTTATCCTTTTGTTTTAAGGCTTGTTAGATACAAATAACTTTGAAATTAACAATTAATTTAATATTTAAAAGATAAATAATTTATTTTACAATGCACTTTCGATAAAATATTATGATATAAATAAATATATATTTAGAATTTGCAAATATATCATATCATTATTCTTTTTGTATTTATATATCTAACACCTAGACTTTCATATTTATTTATATAATGTTCAAAGCTTCAAATCACATAAAAAATATAACTAATATTTACTTTTCAAATTGAAAAACATTTTTCATGTACCCTTTTCTTTTTTTTTTTTTGTATTTATATATCTAACATCCAGGCTTTCATATTTATTTACATAATGTTCAAAGCTTCAAATCACATAAAAAATATAAAAACATTTTTCATGTACTTGTTTTGATATGATTGAAATACTAAAGTACAATATAAGTAAATATCAAAATTAATGTTTTAGGTATGTAAATACATAAATATTAAGTGGTATGTATGTAAATACCCCAATAAATAATATTTAAATCAATTTATACATTATTTCAATACTTTATTCCTTTTGACTGTATATCACAACAGTAAAATAGAGCATGCTGGCCCGTTCAAGAATGGTGGTAGCATAGTTGAGCTGATGAAGCAGGAGTTTAGATTTGAGATGTTGCACTTGTATCCCGATGAACATGTGTAATGTGCCCAAATTGTTTAGTTGAAAGTGCTGATGAAGATTCTTGAGGAGTCGGTGAATGAGATTTATCATTACTCATGAGAAGTTTATCATATGCATAAATAAAGAGATAAATAGTTATACTATATGTGAAATAAAGCAGTAGGGAGGGATCAACTCTACTAAAGGAAAAACCCCATTGAGTAAGATAATCAATGAATTTGAAGGACCATTGTCTATGAGCCTATTTTAACTCCTGAATAACTTTGTTCAGTTCTCAAACATATGTGAAATGATTTGGGTCTTTGAATCCCGATGGTTGACCATGTAGACAGTGTCTGAGAGCTTGCAATGAAGAAATCCATTTGAAACATCCAGTTGATTTATTTGTTAATTGTTAGGGATAGCAAGTGTTAGAAGAAATTGATAGGTTTGGAGTTTGGCCACCTGGTTAAAGTTTTCTATAAAATCCAAATCATATTCTTGTGTACATCCTTAAGCCACCAGTCTAGCTTTATACTGAGCCACTGTACCATTATCATGGAGTTTTGTTCAAAAGAGCCACTTACTACCAAGAACATTTTGAGAAGAGTTTAGAGAAACTAGAGACCAGGTCACTTCTGTTTGAAGGGCTTGAAATTTAGTGGACATAGCTTGACGCCAATGAGGATATTTTAAAGCTGAAGTATAACATGTTGGATCTTGGGATAGATTTTTGGAATGGTGGAGATTGAAAATAGATCTTTGTTTGGTATTGTCTTCTTTCTTATTATTTTTTAAAATTATTTTTTACTATAAAATTTTTAACTCAAAATATTTTTTATAAAAATTTATTTTTAAAAAAATAATAAAAAAGCTATCCCAAACAAAACCACAAGTGAAATAAAGTTACTTCCACCGACCGAGGCTTAGGGTGATTGGTGGGCTAGTACGGTTAGGAACCCCCCATCCTTGGTTCGAATCCCCTCTACTACAACCTCGCCTCTTCAGTGGGGCAAAGCAAGTGTGGATCTGATACCGATGGGTCGCCTCTCTATGTTCCACCGATGGATTAATTACGCCGTCAAGCGCTCTATTAGAAGTGACAGTGAATAAATACCTCGTTCCCAAATAAAAAAATTTAAAGTTACTTCCCAAAAAAATTGAAAGAGTGTCCTGTCTAATTCTCTAAGTATTTGTTCACAAAATGAATCATTTAACATTTAATATAAAAATCACTGTCTATGCTTGACTGCTCTGTTCATATTTTCGGGGTCCCAACTCAACGTTTAAAGGAAATGATTGTAGATTGAAGAATCTGCCTTTTCTGTCCCTAAAAATAAGGAGTGCTTCTCGTCCGGCCGAAAGTTTTGGTTAAATTATGATATTTATTAGTCAGGTACCCCGAGCTTAAGTTTTATTATATATTTTGTTAGATGTTAAGTGTTGAAGTACATAAAATATTTTAGTAGGGATATAAATGAGTCGAGTCGAATCAATTAATGCAAATTTATACATTCATCATTTGAGCTCAAGTTGAGTCGAGTCGTGTCGATCTTTTGATTGATAGTCAAAGCTCTCAACCAACAGATTAAGATGAACTCAAAATTGATTAATTTATGAAATTGGAACTTGAGCTCCAATACACGAGTTTGAGTCCGTTTATAAATCCACGCATTTATATGAAACAGGAAAATGATTTTAATTGAAGTATTTATTACTATATATGGTAAGAAGATAAATATGAAATTAGATGATACATAATAAAAAATACTTAATTTGTATAGAAGTAATATATATGATTTTTAAATACTTTAAACAATTTTATTATTAAACTCTTGAATTTTAATATATTCTAAATATTTTTTACTTAAAATTTTTTAAATAAGCTAGCTTGCTCATTGCTCGTGAACTAATGAGTCGAATCAAATTCGGATCGTTAGCTTATCAAGTTTACAGTTCATAAGTCAATTTGACAAATGTTTTGTTTTTATTTTTCTCCAAATTTTAATTTATAATAAATTTATGTAATTAAAACAAAAAAATTACAATCGAGGAGAATTATAATATATAAAGTTAAATCAAATAACTTAAAATATGATGAGTATGATAATATATAGTCTAAACAAATTTATATTGAAATTAATTAAGATAAGCATGAAAATAATTTTTTTTTATTATCATAAAATTAATCTTCTTATAATTAACAACTATAATAAAATAAACTAAAACCATAATATCAATATCAAGCTCAAATGAAAAAGTTTGGGATATTTTTAAAATCAGAAATTTTGTGTTCGTGCAGATAAAAAATTCTGACTCCACCGTTATATATGCATCCGGATCATATTTATGACGAAACCTTCAGTCGGAAAGTTCTGTGTGTTCACATAGCAAAATATAAACTCATCAGTGTAATTAAAATTTATGGCGTTCCAATTGATTTTTTTTTTCTAAAAAAATAAGAATTCGTGAACAAGTTCTTCACTGAATTTAGTTATAATAAGCTCAGCACTCCAATGTTATGACCTTCTTGGACCGTTGGGCTCCCACCACTGATCAATCAATCAAATCAAATATTTAAAGTCTGATAGCGAGGAGAAGTGAAGTGGAAATGGACGGTCCATTTGTGAGAACTTTTATTTGGTCCGGTCATAGGACGTAGCTCTACGTTCGGCCATCAGTAGAATCGTGCCACGCGTTCTCATTATTTACTGCGCGCCCCGACAACCCGACCCAGAACGGACCCATGATGGCTCGGTATTTCTCGATTTTACTACGTATTGCTCGGTATTGCTAGGTATTGGTCGATTTTGCTCGGCAATAACCAATACCGAGCAATACCGAGTTGTACCGAGTTTTCTATAGCAATATCGAGTTGTACCGAGTTTTTTAGAAAAACTCGGTACAACTCGGTATTGATCTTCACAGAGCGGTATTTCTCGTTATTGCCAAGTAATACCTAGCAATACCGAGCAAATACCTCGCAATACGCGAACATATCATTCCCGGGTTCTGGTCCGGGTCAAGTCGTTGGGCCGCGCGATAAAGCGTAAGAGTACGTGACGACATGTTATTGACGACCGAACGTAGCTCTAAGTCCGATCGGACGTAATAATTGTTCCATAGACCGTGACGCGAAAGGGAAATTCATGTTCTGTTGCGTACTTAATGTGGACCCGTTCTTCGCATGCGGTGCATGAGATGTACGTAGGGTTCCAAAAAATCCGGCGAACAACTTGGCTAAGGTGGCGATGTGGTGGGGACCTTGTCGCCCGCCATGTCGGCTTTGAAATTTTTATGAAATTTTGGATTTATTTGGGAGAAATTTTCTCGAAATTTAACCTCAGTTAATATCTGAAATTACATTCAAAGCCATCGTTTATATAAGCAGCAATTTCTTATCTATATCACATTTTTTAATTATAATATGAGGGTAATATATGGAAAATTAGTGGGTTAATGTGATATATTTTAATGACTAAAAGGAGGAGAAAATTTTTAGAATGGTAGATTTTTTAGTCGAAAATATAATATTACATAATATTTGCATTCAACAAATGGAGAAATTATTACGTGCGGTCACCTGATGCCATCCGAAGGCCAATCAAAATGCACCACATCACCAATTTTTTGTGTATGGTTATTGTGTACCGCTATGTATCGAGTGACGTGAAGCATTCTGATTGGCCTCCGAACCGTCGGGTGACCACACGTAATAATTTCTCCAAAAAATGACTATTATGATTTATATCTTGTTTGTATGAAACTTGGGGCTAATTTTAAATTGAGAGAGTAATAGTTTATTTGGGACGACTACAATATTTTATAAACTTATTTGTAAAGTTTTCGTCGATAAAAATAACTTTGCTATTATAATTTTTTTAAACAAAATGAATGCTTAAAATCAACGGTAGTCCTGTCATCAGCATTAATTAATTAATTAATTGGTGTCAGAATGATTGTCACATATTTAATGAAAAAAAAATGAAGATGGCAAAGACATTTTTGCTTGGAAGCAATCTGATCATAGTTATAAATAGTATTTTTTTATTTTTTATATAAATTGAGTTGATCATGCAGGCATGTGCTGCAATTTAATATGAAATTGACAATCACAAAAAATTAATATGGTCACTGATCATAACAAAAAAAAAAAAATCTGAATATGAGATGCAATTATGAAATAAATTTAAAATTTAGAGAAAACTTTAAAAAGCTTATTTTAATAAGATATTTTTTTAGCATATATTGTTGTAACTGAACCTAATTGAGCTCAATTGTTTTATATTTGAGCTTGAGTTGGACTAACTAATCAAATTTTGTGCTTGATCTTGAGCTTAAGCTCAATTCAACAAGTCCATATTGTTGTGCGGATCAGCAAAAAATAATGTAAATCATACAACCAAACATAATGAACACGATGCGATTTATATGATTCGGTGAATATTCCATAAAGTGTTTTAAGTTTATAATTGAATGATTGGAAATTTTGAATATTTCAAAAAAAAAAAAAAATCATTTCCAAATTAATGAGGCCATTTTAAAATTTGATAATACCCATTATTTTTATAATGATCAAATTACTCATTTGCAACATATGCTAAGCTAGACCATCAGGCTTATCTTGAATTCATAGTGTTTTACATGGTACTTTAACGATCAATTTTGAGCAATTTTAGAGTTAATGGACTCGATGAGCCATATGTGACATTGTACATTAATAGTCACCCACGTGAATATTTTAGAATGACAGACATTTTAGTCAAAAATATAATATTTAAATTCAACAAATGGTGAAATTATTACGTGTGGTCACCAGATGCCGTCTGAAAGCCAATCAGAACGTGCCACATCACCAATTTACTGTGTATCATTGTGTATCAGGGGATATGACTCATCCTGATTGGCCTCCGGACAACCCGGTGACTGCACGTAATAATTTCTCCAACAAATGACTCTATTTACTAGTGAAGTTTAATGGCGTCAAAAACTTTGTTCGTATTGACCTTGGGGCTAGTTTTACATTGAGAGAGTAATAGTCTGTTTAGGATAACTGTAATATTTTATAAAATTGATTAAAATTTATTATAGAGAAAATAACTTCAAATTTTTTTTAAACAAAATGAATGCTTAAAACAAACAGTAGCCCTGTCATCAGCATTAATTAATTGGTGTCAGAATGTTTGCCACAAATGTAATGAAAAAAATGAAGATGGCAAAGATATTTTTGCTTGGAAGCCATCCGATCACTGTTAGAAATAATTTTTGATTCATTTTTATAAATTGATCCGTTGATCATGCATGTACGTGCTGCAATTTAATATGGAATTGACAATCACAAAAAAAAAATATATATATATATTTTTTTGTCACTGATCATAACAAAAAAAAAATTCTAAATATGAGATACAATTATGAAATAAATTTAAAATTTAGAGATGGCTTCAAAGAGAGTATTGCAATAAGATATTTTTCTTAGGATATATAATTGTAAGTGAACCTAATTGAGCTCAATTGTTTTTATTTGAGTTTTAGTTTAGGTAACTATCATTAATGCCTCTATGGATTCTTTATCTTATTTGTAATTGCGTTCATGGCAACTAAAAGTAATTTGTCAAATATTTAGGTTTTTTTTTTGGATATTTTTTTTTATTATTTCTTAAAAGAAATTATTTTGTGCGGAGTCTAGACAGGAAGAATCGTCCGGACTATAAGTGTACATATTATATACATATTTATACACAATGTGTACAAAAATTTGATACAATGTGTGTACAAATATATCACATATCCAACTGATTCTTCTGATCCAGACTTCTCACCAAATAATTTCTCGCTTAATCTTGCTAGATTTGTGCACTTGCAGTCTTGCATATATAAGACAAAGGAGTTTTTTTTTTTTTTGTTGTCCTATAAAGTAAAAATATCTTATATTTCATTTGATAAATTGACCTGTATCATAAGTTTGTCTATATTCTCTTAAAATTATTAATGTGTTCACATGCAAAAAAATATTTTTTATTCTATCATAAATGAGAATGTAATTACATTTTGGACGATTAAGACATTTTCTCGAATATTAGATATTTTGTCAGTTAGATATCTATAGTTCTTTTTCGTTGCTATCTCTACTTTGTCTATGCTTTCCATCCACAATCAGTGGTTCTAACTCGCTAGATTGACCTGCTAGTACAGTCAGATGTTACTCATGAATAAATTCGGATTCAACAATAATCATGACTATTATCTTTTCAATTTAATTATTTGTGAATCTAAAATCCAAATAAACAAGAAAATTTTGTTAAAAACTAACAGATATGGGTTATAACTTTATTTTGTTTTTCGAAATTGAATAGTATATAAAAAGCAAAAATATTAGAATATTAATTTAACAAATTAATTAATATATTTTTTATGATACATATCCGAAATTATATGTCCCAAAATACATGGAGGATGGATGGGCTGCTATCCATTAACTTGCAAAGAGCTTCAGGAAGAGGCCTCCAGGCCCGTCATATGGCCTGTAAAGGTGGGCTGTGATCCATTATGATCCATTATTATTAGTGATATTTTTTACCAGTGCTGAAAATTTGAATATTATATAAATATTAAATAGACATAAAGATCTATATTTTTTAGATATAAAAAAATGTTTTCAATGTGTATTTATATAAAAACATATAACCTTATTTATTATTTTAGTTAAGGATAACTTGTTAAGGACCAGCTTATATAAACCAATTAAGATATTAAGGTTTCTTTTAGGGTAGTATTTGGCTTCTATTTTTTTCTATTTTAAAGAGATTTTTATATTTAAAAAATATTTAAAAAAGGTCCTGAATGAAACTAAGGCTTCGTTTGGGACGGCTTTTTTAATGCTTTCTAAAACGGAGTTTTAGTACAAATTTTTTTATTTTTGTATTAAAACTCCGTTTTAGAAAGCAGTAAAAAAGACGTCCCAAACGAAGCCTAAGGCTTCTTTTGGGACGGCTTTCTTCTTGCTTTCTAAAACAACTTTCTAGTAAAAAAAATTCTTGAATCTAATTTTTTTATACTAAAAAATTATTTTAAAAAGAAATACGAAAGCAGTCACAAATGAAGCCTAAGTTTAGCCAAATTTATCCCTTCACATGTGAAGTTGACTAATAATGTTTCCTATGGAAACAAACTTAAAAAGGGAATGAATATAGTCTTAGTGATTTTGGCCTCATTGTATTCAAATGAATTAAATGGACACATTTCTATTAATTAAAAAGTAAAAAAAAAATAAGCATTGATCTACTCAACCAAATCAGCCTTTTAATTTATGTTGAAATGATTATATATTTGAACATATTGCATTTGAATTTGACATGAATCATGATTAAGGTTTCTTTTGGAACAGCTTATGGTCAATGTTTTTTCTATTACTTTCAATAAATTTTTGCAAAAACAGTTCCAAGTGAAATATAAAAATAGTAATTGTGATCATACAAATCATAATGGCAATTCAAATCATCATGGAGATTGATTGTAGAGATTTAGAGTCAATCATAATCCATATTAAAACATTTATTATTTTTATTAATTTTGCAAAATTGCACTGATCGGATTTGGGTTGACAGATCTGACCCGTTTGCAAAAGCAAAATGTTGCATCATAACAGTTACAATTTCAATGTAATCGTTACAATTTTATCAAATTACAAAGCAAAGTGTTGCATCAAATCAGCACAAACGATATTGCTTGTAATTCAAATAAAGAGTTAAGGCTGATTTGGATAATTTTTTTTTTTTGTGGGGAACGAGGATATCTACCCACTGCTATCTTAACTTGTGAGGCGCTTGATTGTGTAACTAATCTCTGTGCTGGCGTGGAAGAGGCACTTACTCCTACATAACCTCCTGACCCGCACACTTAAGAGGCGCTGTCACCTGAGGGAAATCGAACACGGGTTGAGAGGTTCCCAGTTATACTCGCCCACCAACCAAACTAAACATCCGTGGGTGATTTGGATAACTATCGCTCTAATTCGAACAAATCCATATCAATCCACGCTTTTCGCCTTCATTAATTATTTCATACACGCTAATCTCCGAAACCAAATACTTAATTCTCACACGGTTCAAACTGGCAAATATCGATGACTTCCACCTGCAAGATCCGCTGTGACCGCCGCAAGAGAAGCGCACCTGTGCGCACCAAACTGGTCGCAAATCTATACACTTATCTACACTCAGAAGCAGCCCAATTTGCACGCCGTCCAACGGCCGGACTTTCGCCTTTTACGTCTGCTCCCCCTGGCCTATCGTACTAATTAAACTGTTAATCAAATACTAATCACCCATAAGTCAAAGCATGTCCCCCCGCAAGGGTCTCAATCCACCGACTACCGTTAATGACTCCCCACATTTCTCTGCAATCTCTTCCGCCTATAAAAGAAAGCTTTTTTAGACATCCAACGAAGAAAACAATCGAGATGGCCGGAAGTGTTGTAGCCGTTACAATTGCTCTGCTAATGGCGTTGCAGGCACCAATCGCGACGACAACGCGGCTCCGCAAATTACAGTCGACCCGCGAGCAGCTGGCGCATGCGGCGGTGTCTGCGAGCCTTGCGCAGGCGAAGAGCGCGCTGGCTGCGATCTCGAGCGCGGCGGAGAGCGTAGCTCCGCTGAAGCCGGGCGAGAGTATGGTGCTTCGTGACTGTTTGACGACGATGAGGGACTCGGTTCAGAAGCTGCAGAAGTCGCAGGGTGAGATGGGAGAGGGGAAGGCGTGGGTGGAGAACGCGCGGACTTGGTTGAGCGCGGCGCTGACGGAAGACAATATGTGCGCGGATGAGCTTCAAGGAGTGGATTTGGCGGGGCGGAGGGAGGCGGTCAGGGGGCTGGTTGTGCTGGCCGCGAGGCGTACTAGCGACGCGCTGGCGCTGATTAGTAACTTGGGTTCGTCTAGTGGGATCGAGCCATGACTTTCCAGTTCAGTAGCTGGTTTCCTGCTGCTGTTGCATATTTGGTTTTGAACTATTTCTCATAAGTCAGTTGAATGTTATGAAGTTGTGTCAACAGTAAATGGCTTGTACTATTATGTAGCGTTTGTTTTAAGATGTAATGTGCGGATATCGGACCGAAGAACTGTTCAATTTTATCTATGTGAATAGTGAAAATGCAACATGAATAGTAAAAGCGCAACGTTTTTATTATTCATTGTGATTTTATGGTTCACACATAGACAAAGCCGGATGGTTCTTCCCGTCCAGTATCTGCACGTAATAATTTCTCTTGTTTTGAAGCTTTGTTATATTTGTATGTGTGATTGTAAATATGCAAGTGATTTTGGTGTAAGCCTTTATAATCGAATAAGTTGCCCGTTTGAATATATTTAAAAATATGCTTAATTTTTGCATGCGTTATTATATGCATGTCATTTTAAAAAATTTACTCTTATTAATGAAAATATTATAATGAATATGTACAACTAAAATTTAATATTCAAAAGGATTCTTAAAATTTACAAAAGTAAGGAATATGTTTTAAGTAGTTTTCTATATTGATATGCTCCTTTTCTTTGAATTTGAAAATATCATGAATATCTATATTTTAAAATATTATGAACGATCAAACAAGATATGAGCATTAAAAAAGTCAACAACATAGGTATTATCCTCGTTCATTCATATAGCAATCAAGATCTTATTCGGAATCGTTAATTGAGAGAAATAATTTGTTATCAACATAATACTATGGATTAATTACTGTTATAAATCATATTCTCTCAAAAGAAATTAAAAGGAACAACATGTCCTTTAATATATAGTAAAAAAAGCACAAATTAGGCAAATCACTTGGGTATCAATCATGATAAAAAATTTTGTTTAACATTATATATAAATGGTGTGCATATTATAATGCTATCATGCATATGTTCAATAGCATATCATATCTTAATTTACATACACTTTTATATGTTCTAATACATCCATGTAAGAAGCACCATCTAGCTCAACTTACCAATTGTTAATATTTTCTTTGTTGACACTACGAGGTATAGAATAGACCCATTATTGGCTCAATAGAAAAGCTATAACTCACACTTGGCCGATATATATATTCCCCATCAACATAATACAACATAGGTTTTATGTATATTATTGTTTGAGGTGAAAGGCAAAATCATCAACACACCAATACCTTAGTATCTTATTAGTACATTAATAAGGTGAATTTCATATGTCAATATGAATATTCATTTATTTCTATAAGCATTTTTCTTACATTCTCTTCATCACACATCTACTTTCAATAATAACTTTTGAATATATTTCATGAAATATTCATAATAGTTTTTTTTTTTTCCTTTTCTTTTCAATATTCTTATGATGACAATCATAGCATTTGATGTTACCAATGTCGCAGCACATACCAATTCTATTTGAGCTTTGACATGGATATTAAGATATTGAGTAAACTGTAATATTATGATTGTTGCGTCCTGGAGTATTCGTGGCGGTAGAGAAATATATAGTTTAACGTCTTAGCATTGTACGAAGATCCAGCACACAATCAGATAAGTGAGAGGGTGTAGCGTTCATAAGAGACACCAGAATTTTTACGTGGAAAACCCCTGAAAAGGGGGAAAACCCACGGGGCCTGACCCAGTTTGAATGAATCCACTAGTATTTGTAGTCGATTACAAATGAGGTCCTTCTTAGGGAGAAGGCCTTAGCTTGATGTTACAAATGTATGTCATATAGAACGTATTACATTATGGGAGTTACAATAATCAACATAGACATGTTTGTTTGGTAAGAAGGACCGTAGTCGCAGGAGACCGGGGTCAGAAATACCGTTGTCTGTTGATAATGGTCGGACAGACCGTAGTAGGCGACAGAGATCGAAAGGATCGTAGTCGGCAGGAGACAGTGGTCAAAAAGACCGTTGTCTGGTGATAGAGGTCGGACGGACCGCAGTAGGTGACGGAGGTCGAAAGGACCGTAGTCGACAGAAGATAGGGTCAGAAAGATCGTTGTCTGGTGATAGAGGTCGGACGGACCGCAGTAGGCGACGGAGGTCGAAAGGACCGTAGTCTGCAGTATTCTGAGAGAACTGTGGGCATCAGGTGGTGGCGTGGTGGAGCTCAAGGCCTCAAGTAGTGGTCCGGCAGAAGTCTGGGCCTCATGTGATGTTTTGGTGGAGCACACGGCCTTTGATGATAATCTGGCAAAGATAAGGGCCTCTGGAAATGGTGAGGGCCTCTGGCAATGGTGAGGGCCTCTGGCGAAGGTGAAGACCACTGGTAAAAGTGAGGGCTTCTGGCGAAGGTTAGGGCCTCTAACAAAGGTGAGGGCCTCAGATGAAGACATCAGGCCTGAACGTCGGGCCTTGAGCAGAACGTTGTGCCTTCAGCAGAACGTCGGGCCTTGAGATGGTGGTGCGGTGAAACTCCAGCGGTAGTTCCGGTGAGGCTCCGGCGGTGGTCCGGCGAGGCTCCGGTGGTGGTCCGGTGAGGCTCCGACGGTGGTCCGGCTAGGTTCTTGCGGTGGCCCGGCGAGGTTTCGGCGGTGGTCGCGGAGGAGCTTCTTCCTTCTCTTCCTTCTCCTCTTCTCTTCTTGCTTGGCCCCTTCTCACGAGAAATGAGGGCTCTATTTATAGATTTTCTAGAGTGGCATGGCCCGTAAATAGGCGTGAGATCATAGGGAGTGGTTGAATGGACGGCCGATATTGAATCCTACGATCATGCACCGTTCATTGGTCATTTTAGGGCCTTAATGATGTCGGAAATTGACAACCTTGGGCTCGTTGGATTCGTCTCGTCGAGACGTTTGATTCGAGTATAAGCTCGTTAAAATCGGAGACCTTTTTGGTAACTCAAATTGCGGTTTGCACCTTCCAACAGCGCTTTGGGTCCTTAATTTGGACCCATTTGGGTTTGGATTGGGTCGAATTTGGTGTCGTTGGGTTTGTATTTCCGAGACGCTCAATTTGGCTATAAGCTCGTTGAAATCAGAGTTCACGTGCTTCTGAATTTAATTTTTGAAGTTTTCGATTTGAGTTTTGCCTCGAGATTCGTGCCCGATCAAGATAATTTCATGATGACGTATCAATGATATAAATAAAGTTTTAAAAATTGGGACTCAAAAAATATTTTTCATTTAGACATAAATGATAAATTTGATAGATGTTTATTAAAATTTATGTTTTCTTACTTAAAATAGATATATTAGATTTGATTTATATTAAGAAAGTTAGATGCAGACCTAAAAAAATTTAATTAGAAAATATTAGAAATGATAGAGAAATTATTAGATTTGATGTTAGATAGAAAGGTAGATGCAGACCAAAAAAGTTCTTCGGCCAATGGTGGAGGTGGAGGTATTGGTGGTTGTGGAAGAAGTTCTTCGGCCAATGGTAGAGGTGGAGGTATTGGTGGTTGTGGAAGAAATTCTTCGGCCAATGGTGGAGGTGGAGGTATTGGTGGTTGTGGAAGAA